CAAATTTCCCGTTTACTATGATAATCTACTTCGCTAAATTAGTAATATTTCCCTAAAATTTCGAAATTACTTCCCCTGAAAGTCGATAATCTGCTTCCGAAAAGTATTTTGAAAGTAGATAACCAACTTTCCCGGAAAGTAGACATTTCCATTTTTATGATACAAATTTCCCGTTTTCTATGATTATCTACTGCAAAATTAGGTAATATTTCCTCAAAATTGGTAAATCTACTTACCCGAAAAGTCGACAATCTACTTTCCCGAAAAGTAGAATTTATCTATTTTTCAAAGAGTACCAACTTTCCGGAAAGTAGATATTTCCCATTTTTTATGAGACAAATTTCCCGTTTTCTATGATAATCTACTTCGCTAAATTAGGTAATATTTCCAAAATTCGAAAATCTACTTCCCGAAAAGTTGATAATCTACTTTCCGAAAAGTAGTTACTACTTTTCCGAAAGTAGATAACCAACTTTCCCGAAAGTAGATGCCTCCATTTTTATGATACAAATTTCCCGTTTTCTATGATAATCTACTTCGCTAAATTAGGTAATATTTCCAAAATTGAAATCTATCTAAAATGATAATCTACTTTCCCGAGTAAAGCTATCTATTTTTCCGGAAAGTAGATAACTGAACTTTTCCGGAAAGTGATATTTCCCATTTTATGATACAAATTTCCGTTTTCTATGATTATCTACTTCGCAAAATTAGTAATATTTCCCCCAAAATTCGAAAATCTACTCCCTTGAAAAGTCGATAACGACTTTCCCGAAAAGTAGAAAAGTTATTCATTTTCTCCGAAAGTAGATAACCAACTTTCCGGAAAGTAGATATTTCCCATTTTTATGATACAAATTTCCCGTTTTCATGATTATCTACTCGCAAAAATTAGTAATATTTCCAAAATTCGAAATCTACTTCGAAAAGTCGATAATCTACTTTCCCGAAAAGTAGAAAGAAAATCTAAGTCTATTTCTTCCTGAAAGTAGATAACCAACCTTCCTCGGAAAGTAGTTATTTCCTCATTTTTATGATACAAATTTCCCGTTTTCTATGATTATCTACTTCGCAAAATTAGGTAATATTTCCCCAAAATTCGAAAATCTACTCCCGAAATCTACTTTCCCGAAAAGTAGAAAATCTATTTACTTTTCCGGAAAGTAGATAACCAACTTCCCGGAAAGTAGATATTTCCATTTTTATGATACAAATTTCCGTTTTCTATGATTATCTACTTGCAAAATTAGGTAATATTTCCCCAATTCGAAAATCTACTTCCCGAAAAGTCGATAATCTACTTTCCCGAAAAGTAGAAAATCTATCTACTTTTCGGGAAAGTAGATAACCAACTTTCCCGGAAAGTAGATATTTCCCATTTTTTATGATACAATGAAAGAAAATTATGAGGAAACTTTTTGGGGGAGAGAATTTATAAACTCCTGAAATAATCCACCAGTGTGTTGTGATGGCTCCTTCAAGACCACAGGCTTGACCAACACTGACCTAGGATCAGATACATACAGGAACCAGTACAGTACATACCCAGTGTGTGACAGACGTTATCGACCACCCAAGCAGCTAATGAGTCGATCAGTGGCAGAGACAGTAAACGAAGTAAACCAGTAATAGAGGTGAGGTTTGAGTGGACCGTTAACTGGTTACCGGCTGTATATGTCAACAGGGGGCGGTTATTTATAGCTGGTATTTATCATAATTTCTTCTTTAAAATATACCATATTACTTCTAGATTACACATTGATATTTAAATGTTTTTAATAACTTGATGTACGGGTTATAATATCGTTAAGTCCATTCATTAAGCTTTACAATGGTGCAGGTGTTTGATAGGAACTGTCCCTGGCCCAAGTTCTGGTATCATAAACTAACCTAACCTAACTAAATGACATTTGCCACATTCCCATTCCTACACACCACAAACCCATCTAACACATTCACACCACCACCACCACACACCCATCACAACACATTCACACCACCACCACACCCCATCCTACAGCACATTCACACCACCACCACCACACCCATTCACACCACCACACACCCATCCCTACAACACATTCACACCACCACCACCTACAACACATTCACACCACCACCACCACACACCCATCACACACACCACCATTCACACCATCACCACACATTCACCACCACACACACCATCCCCTACAGCACATTCACGCCACCACCACACACCCATCCCCAACAACACATTCACACCACCACCACCACACCCACACCACCACCACACACCCATTCACACCACCACACACCCATTCACACCACCACACACCCATCCACCCACACACACCACCACCACCACACACCCATCACCCACACCACACACCCATCACCCACACCCATCACCCACACCACCACACACCCACACCACCACACACCCACACCACCACCACCCACAACACATAAAAACTGTCTCTATAAAGTTTGTTTATAATTACAGGCATAAAGTAAAGTAACATATATACAATGATTATGAATTTATTTAAAAAAAAAACATTACAAATTTTTTTTCACGCTGTATGGACCACAATGCTTACTGATAGGATGTACTGTAGTAATATAAAGGACAAAGATTAACAGAAAATTAATGATATATGTTAATGTTTTCCTCTTATGTGTGACTCATTATTGCACAACTAACACAAATACTGCACAGTCAACTAATAAATTCCATTTACCTCTCCCTCTGAAACATGAACCTCAAGATTCAGACTTATGAACCTAAAGCATTTATGTTCTTATGGACAAAATAGTGTATCAGTCTATTGCTTCATGAGTCTGAATCTTGGGGTTCATGTTTCAGAGGGAGAGGTGAATGGACTTACGTAGTTGACTGTATGTGATCACTTTCCATTCTTGATCATCATGTTAAGTAGCCAGTACAGTACAATAGCATGTCATGACATTGTCGTTAGAGTACAGAGTTATTAAAATTGTCTTAGCCAGGGAAAAAAAATCACATTTCCTCAAAGCTAAATTCTCTAATGTGTGAATATTTTAACAAATTCTAAACTTCTAAATCATAATTGAAAAATGGCACAGAATTGAAACCAAATCAAATTTCAGACAAAGTGAATATAGCCTTACAGTACAGTATAACCAATTATTCCAGTAGTCATTTAATAACAAGATCCTGGGAAAATATTACTCCCTGATATACCGTATCAACTCTCTCTCTTAGACACCATCTAACACAGATCATCCTATACAGAAGAAACTAAAATGTCCAAATTCATTAATACAGTGAAACCTCTTTTTAACGGACTGTAAAGATAAGAATATCCATTACATTGAGCGTCCGTTAGCTGTAAAACTCCACCTAATGGATTACATGGAGGTAGAAACAAGTTATGTGGAGGTTCCACTGTGGTAAACATGACTGAATGAACGATGAAAATAATCTAAGGCGCCAAATGGGAATATTTAATTGATGGCCAGAGCATCAGACTGCGCCTCCATGCTCAACTGATTCTGTAAGTCTGAGAGCTTCTTCTTAAGAGCAGCGATGCCCATAAGGATGATATTCTCTGGCTTGAGCGCTCCGGCACTCTCCACATTGTAATAGAACTTGTTGGGTTTGGCTGTTGCGTCAAACTCTGCCTGGGCTGTAGGACGGGAGACACAATTATCAGTCCAACAGATATAATACACAGATGAATAACATAAAAGTAGATATTATTGGGAGAAACTCTAAAGCACGATTAAGGGGACAAATATTGTGTAGAAATGGAGGAGATAGCGATGATGAAAGTATTGTCAACTTGGCCGAACAAAATTAATAACAAGGTCTATACAGCACATGTTTGTACAGTATAGTACTTCCTTTATGTACAACCCCACAATTAAGATATGTTTAATATATTAGACAAGTCATCTATAACTGCAATTAAGTGTTTGTGCTTCTCGTCTACTGTCTCCACTTCACACAGGAAAAAAAAGAAAGAAAGAATTTTCGTTCATTTCTGATATCCCTCCTCACTGTAGGTTCAAGGTATCTAACACTTAAAGTAAGGAGCCGATATACTGCCTTGTGAATTAGGGATGCACCGTAACTTAGTTCCGGCCGGAACCTCAATTTTTATGAAGTTCCCGTTCCGGCCGAAACTTTAGAAAAATAACTGGCCGTAACTTGAACTTTTTATTGATATTGGTAACTGTTTCATGGGTTTTACCTTCAGTTACTTCAGTACTCAACAGTCTACACCTCTGGTTGTAACTGTTTATTTTACTGACTGTATAGTACACATACAGTACCTCCTTACATCAACCTCAGCTGATATTGAGGGAGACACTGTGTGAGGCAGCTGGGTGAGAAAACTTGAACTAAACAAGTACTGGACGCGTCATGGCTCTGTGTGACTGGTTGTGTCGTGAAACATACCCGTCAAAGACTCGTGGCTTCCCATAGATCAATTTTTTTTACAAGTTATTATTTTTCCATGTACAGTATTTATAAAACAACTTTAATGCTAAACTTAATATATTTTAGGTGATGTGACACAGTTTGGGTAAATTACTATACAAGGTGAATCTTACCTTGAAGCATTGTTGTATTACAGTATTATATAAAAAACACTGTATTAAAAAGCAGTAAAGCATGTAAAACCAAGTGGCCTTCTACTTGAACTTCATTTCACGGCTTTAGTTTAAGAAATTAGTTTAAAAACCGAACCAAAGACCAATAATATCATATTAGCATTTTTGGGCGTCATAAAACTGATTTAGTTCTTACGTTGTTTAAGCAACACTTAAATTTCCTGTTCTGGCCGGATTTTTTTTAAATTTCCAGCAAGTTCCGGTTCCGGCTGGAACTTAATATTCTGGTTCTGGTGCAACCCTATTGTGAATCAATATAGGATATTAAGTTTCCATAACGTACACTTCATATTAAACAATTAGAGGATATGAATAAGTATGTTTAGGTATTTTCTAAGTTGGTTATACACTATTGTACTTTTATTTTTTCTAATGTAAAACTGTAAGAGGAATAATAACTTCAGATACAATATATGTAAAGTTAATACAGTATAGTAAACAGTGGCGGCTCGTTGGTAGGCACTGTGGAACTGCAGCACATTATATAATAAAATATATCATATATGTTTATTTATTTATACTTGTACAAGATATTTAAAACTACTATCAATAATCCTTAAACTTAATGTCAATGGCCATCCTCTAATTCCGAGAAAAACAACAAAAATCCCTGTATGTGGAACTGTCTTACTCGACAGTTCCAATAACGGGCGTTTGCTTTGTCCCACGCATGGCATGTCCTGGAGGCGAGCACTGTGGATCACACAGTGCCGATCTGGTTATCAGTGTGGGAGGTAGTGTTTACGCATCATCCTGTGTGGTGCTTACGCGCCGTCTGCTATATCAAGAGTATTTGAATGTGATAAATTGTAGATGATGTGATATAATACAGTATGATATCACATCATCTACAATTTATCACATTCAAATACTCTTGATATAGCAGACGGCGCGTAAGCACCACACACAGGATGATGCGTATGATTTATATTCATAGAGACTACATTTTGTATTCATTGTTTTTTCCAGAAACTTTATTGTATAGAAGAATTTGAATTAATTAAACATGGCCTCCTTGTTTTCCCAAGAAACTTGTTCTGTGACAGTGAGTGAACTTCAACAACTTAAATTTTCACAGTTGTCTCTTCATGAGAAAGTTGTTATTAAGACAAGAGGCCGTCCCTCACCTGATATTCAAATATCTCAGCCAGGAATAAGCAACAGTAAGAGGTATATTCGTAGCTTTCATTCAGAATGGTACCAAAGGAAAAGTTGGCTCTGGTTGTATAGTATAAACTTCTTGATATTTAATAAAATAGTAAGGAATTTAAGCCCTAGAACCGATTACTGTATTGGCGGACTAATACTACAGCTGGTTGACCGCCAAGTGCAAGCAAAAACATGTTGAGGTCGGCTCGTTAACCGAAGTTAAGAATCTTATGGGAGGTAACTCATTAACCGAGGGACCACTATATATACCTACTGTATTTCTGTGTGTGTCTTACACAGTATTAAAACAGTTCTTAAAAATGTTTTGAAGCAACACCCCCACGAATTGGAGTCACGAGCTGCCACTAATAGTAAAGGTATTCATTCCTTCACTACAGGGATGCCACTTTTATTATTTTACTTGGCTAATGCTAGAAATTTTATTCAGCACACAGCGAACACCATACACAAGGGGTTAATACTTTATGAGGGACACATACAGAGGAACACTTCATCTACAACTGAATGTGTCACTTCCTCATTAATCTATAAACCTTTCACCCTTTGGTTCCTCAGTGTAAGAACTCATTGTGATATCAGTTTAAAATGTCTCTTCAGATTCTCTCCTGCCTCAATATATATTTAAACAATCTTCTAAGATCTAGTTTAATCTAGCTTATTACCGACATTCCAGTTCAGCCAGACGAGGCAGTAATATGCTATGCTGATGATATCTGCATTATGACACAGACCAAGCTCAGGCTCTAAGCCTTGCTGGATGTATTTGCCCGGAGGACTGTGGAATGTGGTCTCATAATATCTGTTGACAAGACGAGGGTACTCAATCCTCGTCTTGCTCACCCTCTGCCTCTTGGCTTTAACATTAACAGCATGCCCTTGGAACTATGTAGCTCCTATAAATATCTTGGAATTTGTGAATGATGCAAACTTTGTCGGCAACCTTCATGCCAAACTAGTGCAGCGCATTAAACCCCTCAGAACCTTTGTTGGCAATGGCTATGGAATTAATATCACCTATGCTCGTACTTTCTATCTTCACTTCATTCGTTCAGTAGTTGACTATCATGCTCTCCATCTTGTGGCTATTCCGCCTAAACAACTCAATAGCCTTGAGGTAGTGCAAAATGAAGCCATGCACATCATTCTAGGATGCCCAAAATTAACCAGAATTGTAAACATGAGGAAAGAGCTCGGACTGCCCTCCCTATCTGAGAGGATAGCCCTACTTAATACCATGTTTTGTGTCAAAGTTTTGAAGAACATGGTCCCCAAACTACAGCTCAAACTGAGTTGATGTTCTATCTAAGTAATCCCAACTATCTCGTTAACCTTACTGATGGCTCTGTGCAGACTAATGCAGGTAGAACAGGCTGTGCAATTGTAATATATAAACAAAAAGAGATGATAGTGTCAAACAAGCAAAGGCTGAACAACTGGGCCAGCACAACACAAACTGAACTAACTGGAATCTACTTAGCCACAGACTACCTTAAAGAAAATGGAGGTGGGGTGATATTCTGTGACTCTCAAAGTGCTTTGAAATCAATGAACAGCCTGTCAGGTTCTATGTCTAAAGTTGTATGTGATATTAAAAGATATGTGATAATTGCCAATGAGAACAACTCTCGTATCGAATTTGTGTGGATTCCGTCCCATGTTCGAATTAGGTATCATGACCGTGCTGATAGACTGGCCAATGAGGCATGTAAGAAAGAAAATGTTGACCGCGACCTTGGTCTTTCCAATGATGTACTTAAAAACATTCAAGTCAGAATCATGAACTCTGATCTAGAAGAACTGAGAAATGCAGAGACCTAGCAGTTGTAGCATTACTGTAGCAAATATGACAAATTTTGTGACGAGAGGTACCGGTATGGCCAGCATAAGGACAGAACCAGACAATGTGATGTAGTCGTGGCCAGAATTAGGCTAGGATACAGACACATCTGGCAAGTTAGTAACGCTGTACCCATACCGGAACACTCAGCATGTAAACTTTGTGATAAACCTTTGAAGCATACACTTGAACACTATATTATTGAATGTGACACTGTCAAAGACCTGACTTATTGTATCGTGAACTTTGTAATTACTACATTGAATCGGGGGTGCTTGGGGACATTCTTGTTGTTTATCCCAAATTTGCTAGCCCACACTGATGAGTCTTCAATTAGAATATGACGTCCAATGTATATGAACCACTGTCTTGCATGGCAGCGAACAGTGACATCACCCACATGACTCTGACCTATATATACTGCTAATGAATATGATGTATTTCTTTGTGTATGAACCTCTGTCCTGTGTGGCAGTGAGAAGTGATACCACCCTCAGTGTCAAGACCTGACTGAATTACTCAGAATAGGCAAACTGTACTACAAGCTTTGTCAATAAATTTGTTAAATTAAAACTATCTTTGTTTTCTTTCTCCAGCCTTCCGTTTCACTGCTCATATTTTTATTATATTGTACATAGTAATGAAAAATAAATTCTACATCTGTGAATTATAAACTACAGTATTTCTACATGATAACTAACCTTCTCTCTGTTCTGGTTAATCTTTAACAATAAACCAATCAAATTCTTCCTCGGCTCAAAGTGAAAAAGCGGAGGAAAGTCTTTTATCCATCTATGGCAAAGGGGATGACCAGAGTGACCTATGAGATCCAGAGCTGCTAAATGCCCCTACAGCTACAGCATTTATAATTATTGTACAGGGACGTAGGATGGTCTAGTCTACAGAAATGAGAGGAACAGTTTTGAAATCCCATTTAATAGGAGAGGTGTCCCCGAGCACCTCTGTATGGTAGTGTATAGTACAGTAACACCAGAGGAGAAGTGAGTCAGTGTGGGAGCATCTGTATTGTTCTTGGTTCTCACACTGCCACAACAAATCAAGGCTTGCAAGTACAATAAAAATAGAAGACCGTAAATATTTGTAAGGACTATGAGTGTTCAAGAGGTAAAACCAATTTAAAAAGTTGACAACATGGCTACTGGGTCCCCTCCCTCCACCCCACTGCCATACATTCACATAATAAAAGCCACAACTCTTAAGAAGGCAGATCAAAGTGTTGACTGTAGAATTCACAGCAGACCTTCTTGGGTAATATTCTCTTAACAAGTTTCATCAACACCCACTCGAGTATGTTTGAGTTACCGGCATTAAATTCACAAGATGTCTGGAAAGATATACATATGGCCTGGCAGAGAGACAGGTATACAGTGATATCCCCATTAGCCTGAACAATTAATGCAGAGCACTTCCGGGAATGAGAGATCTCCGGGTAACGAGATGACTCTCTCAAAGCCGGAAAAAATCCCTCATCCCCGGAATTTTCCGGGTAACGGAAAAATTTTCTCGGAATTTCCAGAAAATGCGCCAGATTTTCATCTCTCAAACCCGGAAAAAACTCCCCCCCCCCCCCAATCCCCAGAATTTTCCGGGTACGGGTATCTGGAAAATTGTCTCAATTTTCTGGAAAATCATTCCCAAAGCCGGAATTTTCTGGAAAATTCTGGCTTTGGGATCGATTTTCCGAGAAAATTTAAATTCCAGCTATCGGAGAGTTCCGGGTTTGAGAGAATCCGGCTAACGGAGATATTACTGATACTATTTCTATGTCCCCTCAGCCTGACCGGAGGAAACAAGACTGGCAGACTCAAGGCATAATTATTATTTTCCATATTTATCATTGACACATCACAAATCCTAAGTACAGTACACTACATCACAGTTGATGGTACAACACCTGAAATACAATTAATCCTTAGTTATCCATTATCATACAATAGATACAGCTCATATTGGTAAGCAAACTTGTTTCACTGAAGGAAAGTCAAGCACTATACAGTACAGTAATAAGAATGATAGTTCCATGTAAGTAAATGTAAAGCTCATAAAAATCCATGTTAAGTCCTGGTACAGTATCAGTAAATGGTCAGTCACATGAACCACATATGAGTTATCATAACCATGCTGAATAAGTAAGAGTTCAATCCTTTGTTAATAAAAAAAATAAAATAATAATCAATGTAAAACAACAGCTCTCATTAATTTTTCCAGTTTTGTGGGATTGTTTATTTGGTCAGAGGATCTAGTGAGCTGGACGAGAAGTAAACAGCTTGAGTCACCCTCTGATGATAAGCTGTAAAACCTTTACCTGAAGTAAGGTGGTAACAACACTTATGGTGTACACCCACTTACAGTATTTACCACCAAACCTACTAATAGTCTAAGAGATGAGTTAGTCAAAGAGAGACAGGGAGAGTGAAAAAATTAGAGAAAAAAAGAAACAAACATGCACAGAGCTTCAGACTGGTAGCATGGCCTTCTGGACAGCAGTTTATATAAGACTTATGTTAATACTGTACCATGCACAACTGGTCTGTACTTCTTGAACACTTCAGCCGTCTCTACAAACTTCCAAAGCCGGTCCAATTCAGAACCTGACATACAGTATACCTTCCCCACAAAGACTGTGTGGTGTGATCTCTATCATTATTCAGTGGAGTGTAATTCATGACCCAATTCAATGAAAAATGTCTTAATTAAGTTAGCCACAGCAGCTAGCCACTATGTCTAAGGAATAAGTGTACAAATACATGTTATGCATTGTTTGTTGTCTGACTATAAACACTGTGGTGTGTAAGGTGTTGTACAATAATGCACAAATTTCCCATTAGAATACCAGAGAAATTGGACAAAGGGATAATCTTCTCTGGTATTAAATAATTTGTGAAGGTATTTTTCTGGATGATAGTGTATGTAATGATGGTACATTCAGTTTCAACAGTAGAACAAACATTAAGAAAGCAATATAGAACTTTCTCCATTACAACTCCCCATCATTCACTCAAAGGGCCAAGTGTCCCACCTGTCTCTTAAAATAATCTGAAGCTCTGCATGCAATATTATTAATTGAACTCTAACCTCAGAATGTCACTTATTATATACAGAGGCCAGAGGAATAAGATGATCCAAACTAAAAGATGCCTTAGGTATGCATAATGTCATTCACCAATCGCACTCATGTTGGAAAATAAAATGAAAACCTTATTTTTTTTTCACTCTAGTTGATAGCCAGTGCATCAGTCTGAGCCTCCATGGTGAGCTGGTTCTGGATATCTGACAACTTCTTTTTAAGGATGGCTATGCCCATTAGTACTATGTTTTCTGGTTTGAGAGCCCCCGAGGCCTCCACGTTGAAGTAAAACTTGTTTGGTTTGCCAGTAGGATCAAAAGGAGCCTGAGCTGCATGAGAGTGTGGAAGGAAAGGTGAAAGTCTCAACAAGATAATTTGAGGTTGGCAACAGCTGGTGGTGGTGGTGGTGGAGGAGGAGGACAGGATTAGAGTCAAGGTGATAAAAAATAATAATAATCTCAGAGACTCGACAATATTCCTGAAACTGATAGTATCCCATTTTAAATTAATATGAGCACAGATTTTTTTCTAATCATATGAGCAGCTGAGTGACAACATTAAAGAGTCAAAGAAATAGATGTACAGTGACCCCTCGTTTAACGAACGCCTCGGTTAACGAAATTTCGGTTAACGAACTGCCTTCCACAAGGATCTTCAATTCGGTTAACGAACAAAAATTCGGTTAACGAATTTTTTACGAACCGACCTCAACATGTTTTCGCTTGCACTGACCGGGCAACCAGCTTTAGTATCAGTCCGCCAATACATTAATCGGTTCTAGGGCTTAAATTCCTTACTATTTTAGTAAATATCAAGAAGTTTATACTATTCAATAATTTTAAAAGTTTAATATTCAATGTTTTAGTCATTTTAACAATTATTGAACATAATTGAAGGTAAAGAAACTAGTTTCTGGCACGCCATCCAGCCTCTCAACACACCATACAGGCGTCAGTCTTTGTGTCTTTTCAGTGGAGACAACATATTGCTTGAGACTCTCTTCAACTAAATGCTTTTTTTCTGTGTTTCCAAGCAAATTATTGGTCATTTTGAAATTTATTTTACATATTGGCAGTGCAGTGTTGATTTAAAGAAAATAATCTTGAATTACACCAAGAGAACTAAAATTTTATGGGTGAAATGGCGCCATGGGGTGACTTCTCTTCCACCCCAATGCCTTCTCTTCTCCCTTCTCCTCCTCCACCTCCCACTTCAAATGCACATCATCATCATCATCCAGGAGCCTTCTACATACACACCTCAAAGTAAGTGAACTTTTCTACCATTTTTGTTGAATTTAGGAAATTTTCGTGAGCTGGAACCAATTATCCAAAACCCATTGAAACAATGGTTTCGGTTAACGAACTTTTAACGAACCTTCTGGAACGGATTGAGTTAGTTAACCAGGGTCACACAGGTAAAGTCTTCTTCATAGTGAAACAATATAATCTTACATATGATTTTTCTACTAAGACCTGACAGACAGATATAACTAAGGTACCATATATATATATCATCGCCTTAAAATTAGTTCATAAAAAGATACGTACGAGTATTTTCATCCAGGGTGGAGTATTCACTTTTGGGCCACTCTTCTGGCTTGGGGAGAAGTGTGTGCCGCTGCGAATTGTCAGGGTCGTACTCGAAGGCTACACTGCTTGTGGGGTTCCACTTGGCGTGCTCCTTTCCAAACCCTTTGACTGCATAAGCTCGCAGTCTCAGCGATTGACCTTTACGCAGCTTTACAATAAGGATGTCTGGAAATGTATGAGAGGTAGAATAATAATACTATTGATTACTAACTCACACATGCCTGTTTGTTTTATAAGATGGATGAAGCATAAAGCAACATACAAAAAATAGTACATATCCATAACATTTATTTAATGAACAATATCCTTGTACACAAAAATGTTTCACAGATACCCAAGCTGCACACCAAGTTATTGAGTCATCAGCTGAGACTCATCTGTATTTCTTAATCTGTTCAAACACACAACTTCCTTCCTCAATTCACAAATGTCCCTTCAGAACCCTTTCCATAATCTACTAAACAAAATTGATTTTATGTGAGAAGCAAAATGTTTGTACAGTGTGATGATGAATGCTTCACAACACTGCTATGTAATTACACTTTTCTTTGCACTGGGGGTCTTTTGTCTCAACATGTATAGTACGTACTGTACATACAACATATTCTATCAACAGTAATCTCCTGATCCTCAGACTCACCATCGGACTCTCCATACTCGCTGGCTTCGTCTTCACGGTGCCGTGACGTTACGGGAATAACTCTGGCGTCGGAGGACTTGAGATCAGCTGTGGAGATCTGGCGAGTGTGGTCATCCTGACACTTGACATCCAGTGTGAATTCTACGGAACATTCTGGACAGTAGTCTGTGCACGAGCAGTCCTGGAAAGGTTTTACAGTAGTAGCATTAACTTCACTAGTATCTTCCTGAGAGATTCAAGTTTGGAATTACTTCAAATACTTCAGTGAATAGCCTGGGTATGAAACTCAGTCAATGGTGTAGTTCTGGACCTGACTGAGTGATGCACATGAGGTACAGGGTCTTGATGACACAGGTACTAAGAGGGTTCAAACCCTTACTTGTCTCAGTCAAGTCAATGTTGTTGTTATTATCCACTCTGTACAGTCACCCACTAAAGAACTGTCGTCTTCTGCTGCTCCATGAACCCCAAGATTCAGACTCATGAACCTGAAGCATTTATGGACAGAAAAATGTATCAATCTACTGCTTCATGAGTCTGAACCTCTGGGTTCTTGGAGTAGGTAGCAGGAGGTGACATTAATTTTGTGAGTGACTGTAACTGTATTTTTCTGGCTATATAAACTGTTTCAGTATCAGTGAGGCTAAAATAATACACAACAAAATACACATTGTCGTCTTCATGAATGTATTACAAACATTAACCAGATGAAGTTTTACCTACCCTTGAGTACTGCATCTGTTCAATACGTTCATCTGAGGTGAAAGGAATGAGACCAATGCGGTGAGCGATGAACTCATCACTCAGGACGGTAGAGTTTTCCTCCAGCTGGACCCAATCAATGGCTATTGTTGGAGTCTCTGCCATAAAGATTCGGCGGATGGAGTTGGCCACACTGTAACCAAAATGTTCGTTATATATGATAAAGTTAGTCCATATTCTTCATAAAATGTATTTAAGGGCGATTTAAAACTTTCTGGCACGGCATAATTAAAGTTTTAAATAAGGTAGTCTCTATTTTTTTTAATTATTTCATGGGCCATTATATTTCTGTACAGGTACAGTATTTCTATAGTTTATGGAGTAACTTGTCTCTCTCTCTCTCTCACTCTTTAAAAGGAAAAAGTCAGACAACCTGTGACTCACGCTGTATGAACTTTACAGTAACATATGTAATCAGATTTGTTGTAAATTAAAAGATAATTTACATAAGATAACCTTACCTAACTAAACCTGACCTAAAATAATAATTAACTAAACCAAAATAATTTATATATATATATAATTTTGGGGTATTGTATTATTTTAGTTATGTACAACAATCTCATTCAAGAACTTTGGCATTTACAATCTATAAATTTAATAATTCTATGAAAACTACCTCATAAATGTCAAATAACGGAGATATTGGATGTGTTTTAGTTTCTTGTTATTATCATATACGGGAGCACCTGTCACCTGCTTTGGTTACAGCCGACCCACTCTGTCCCATCATACTGGCACGTCCACAACAAATGTAAAATTACACCATGACGCTTCAACGAAGTTGCTTTCGTTGGTACCAGATATAATAATAAGTACTTTCTGTTTAATATGGCATAGGGTCCACCCCCCAAGCTAGGAAGTTAAGTAAGGTTAGGTAGTTTTCTTTGGTTGGTTAGGTTAGGTTAGGTTCTAGAAAATGTCGCCTCTTTTATAATGATAAGAACATGTGTGGAAAAAATAACCCAAATCAAACAACTTCTGGTGGTAGAGCTGTTCTCAGACATTACATAAGAACATAAGAAAATAAGGAGTCTGCAATAGGCCGGTTGGCCTGTGCATGGCAGCTCCTGTCGAGAGTTACTACCACTCCCTATCATCCATGAATCTATCTAGCCTCCTTTTGAAACTTTCCAGCGTTCCAGCACTTACTACAAAGTTGCTAAGCTTGTTCCACTCGTCCACCACCCTATTTGTGAACCAGTTCCTTCCTATCTCCCTCCTAAACCTAAACTTATCCAACTTAAATCAGTTGCTCCGAGTCCTATCCTGCTCGAATATTATAAGAACTTTATCTATATCCCCTTTATTGATTCCTTTCACCCACTTAAATACGTCTATCATATCTCCCCGCACTCTTCATCTTTAAAGAGAATGCAAGTTTAGTTTCTTTAACCTATCCTAATATGGAAGGTTTCTAAGTCCCGGAATCATTTTCATCATTCTTCGCTGCACCGACTCTAGTGAATTGATATCCATTCTATAATAAGGGCACCAGAACTGAGAGTCGTAGATTAGTTTGCTTTTCTCTAGATGCGATTGGATGCCATCTGCTATAATTGATTCAAGAAATTTCCCCACTACTGACGTCAAACTGATCTTAACCTAACCTACAGTATTATTATTGTTTTGGTCATCCAGCGAGGTGAGGTTAAGTTAGGTTAAACTTATGTTTTTCCGATGGATTTTGATGTTTTGAACGATTCTGACCTTCATGTCAAATAGGTGGATGGCTGAAACGGTATGGAAACACAGAAGAAGGCAGAACATTCCACAGTTTGGCTGTGTAAGGAGAGAAGGATTTACTATAATGGGTTATCATAGAGTGACCGATAGCCAGAGAAACGGTGTTACGAGCCCACGACCTCGCCGGCGGTACACAGGATGTCAAATACACCGAACATTGTTATCTCCCTATATAAGCATCAACATTGAGTTCTGTTAATATCTACAACCGAAAATTAACTTGTAAAATATAATAATAATCCAGTTATAGTTTAAATTTATCTGGAATATTAAAAAAAAAAATTCAGTGAAACAACTGCCTAAGGTTACATCTACTACACTAACACCTATAAAACATTTACCTTAGATCTGTGTCTTCTATGTAGAATTTAATGTTTTCTTCAGTAAGTTCCATTAAATTAAGGGATGGTTGGTTGGCATAGGGCATAATGAAGAGTTAAATGGTGGTGTTAAGTCTCCTGTACAACACTCAATCTTCCTCCTTATATCTCCACAGCTTATAGTATTATCTTCTTAGGTTGGGTAAATCTTCTTCCTTTCACGGGGTATAGTTTGAGATTTATTAATAACTCCAGAGAAATAATTTAGTAATGATTTGTGAAGAAGTTTAGTCTTGAGGCTGATCACTTGTGGTAGTCCTGTGTTACAATTATACCACGAACAGTATACCTGCCTATTATTATTAGTCTATATCATCTTTTATACATAGATGTAATGAATGTAAAATTATGTGAGGATAAAATGAAAAATTATTCTTTAGTTATTTAATCAATTTTTTTATCTTCTAAGAGTTAAAAGAAAAAAGTAGTTTGTAAAGTTTCAGTCGTGGTGTCTTTATAACATACAGGCGGCTGGTGCCAGAGATACTCTGTTCAAAGTAAGAAAACTCCAGTTAAAATATGTATAATATGTGTGTACCCTACACTTGACAGATACCTCAGTAATAGCGCTATTTATTGGCTGTGTTGAAAAGATATCCGTGACGTGGGGGTATGGGTTGTTTGGGTTCACACTCAGGATGGGGTGGAGGAAGGAAACTCACAATGTACTCACTGTATACATGTTGTATTGGGTGTACAGGGCAGCTTGGTGCTGGGAAGGCAGCATGGTTACAAGCGTGATGTAGAGAGAGCTGGTTGCACTAGCGTAGCTAGGGGGCGGGGGGCGGTCCGCCCCGGGCGGCACTTTTGGGTCTGCTCATCACCCATATCTGCAGCTACTGGAGACGTTAATCCATCCCTTTGTATCGGCGGCAAGTTAATCCTTGTCGTGTCTGACCTAACACCTGACCCACATCATCACGGCCACGTCATGAGCTACCCCCTTGCTATGCGCCCCCCCGCCCCACACACAACCTGTAACCTGTTGAGGATTAAGGAAACAACTTCAAACAAGTACGCCAGTGAGCTCATGTGGTGTGGGTCAGGTGTTAGGTCAGACACGACGAGGATTAACTTGCCGCCGATACAAAGGGATGAATTAACGTCTCCAGTAGCTGCAAAACCATGCAGTCTCGGGTCATGTACAGCCGACCAATCCACCAGTTACAAGCAATTCACTTCAGTTCTGCACAAGTCTCCATCGTGACAAGACGAGGGAAGGCTAGACTACTTTAAGTTCTCTTGTGTTTTCGATCCAGTTATTTACTTGGTTGGATGACATAATACTATAAGGTAAGAAATATTAAAGTATTGGTTAAAAAATATTGATGTGACCTTTGCTGCGGTACTGAGATTAAATATTAAGATTTTGTTTCACAGCATTGCGATTTTATACTAAGACACTATCCTCTCTGGGGTACAGACAAAAGCCCCCCCGACAAAAGACAAAAGCCACCCAGACAAAAGCCCCCAGACAAAAGCCACCCAGAGCCCCCCCCAGACAAAAGCCACCCAGACAAAAGCCACCCTTAGACAAGCCCCAAAAAGCCCCCAGACAAAGCCCCCAGACAAAAGCCACCCAGACAAAAGCCACCCAGACAAAAAGCCCCCAGACAAAAGCCCCCAGACAAAAAAGCCCCCAGACAAAAGCCCCCAGACAAAGCCCCCAGACAAAAGCCACCCAGACAAAGCTCCCCAGACAAAAAGCCACCCAGACAAAGCCACCCAGACAAAGCCCCAGACAAAAGCCCCCAGACAAAGCCCCCAGAAAAAAGCCCCCCAGACAAGACGAAAGCCACCCAGACAAAGCCCCCCAGACGAAAGCCCCCCAGACAAAAGCCCCCTACTTTGATCGGGGTGGCTTTTGTCTGACAACAGTAATATATATATATATATATATATATATATATATATATATATATATATAAGAGTGCGTCACTGTGCAATATGTATTTTTTGTAGGGTCACGGAGGGGGGGGCGGCAAACTCAAGGGCCGCCCCGGGCGGCACACACTCTAGCTACGCCACTGGCTGGTTGGTGAGGGTGCCCAGAGGAGGACAGCTTGTGGGTCGCCATGGTCGCCGGCGGGAGCGAGGACCGCCAGGCAGGAGCGGAGGAGGTGTTGCTTGTTGGTTGGTGTAGGTAGAGGTAGGTCACCACGAGGTCAGGTCTTATATAGCGGAGGTAGGCGTGGCTTAATAGTTGACCTCCGTGATGTAAGGCGGCGCTGGTTGACCTAGACCACGAGGCATACACTGGGGAATTCGCGGGGTCGGCTACTCAGCGACAAACAGCGTTTGTAGGGGAGGTAGACACTACAACGTCATAGATATGTTGTAGTGGAGTCCTCCCCTACAAACGCCGTGTGTCGCTGACTGGCCGACCCCCCGGCGTATCCCTCGTGGTCAGGGTCAGGTAACCAGCGACGCCTACCATCAAGCCACGCCTACCGCGGTTATATAAGACCTCACCTGGCCTTCATCGACCTCTTTCTACTTATCGCCACCAGCAAGCAACATCTCTCAACAGCTCCACACACACGCTCCCTCAGAAAGCTCCTCGCCCTACAGGAACTTTGAGCAAGCTTCGCCCGACTTAGTATCTCTTTAACACTGTGCTGTGCAACAATATATATTACGGGAAACACATTGTGACTTTCTCTTCTACCTCAATCCTGAGTGTTGGATGTATTTCATGTACGTATGTTGTGAGGCCAAATAAGAGACCCTGCCAAAACAGTACGCTATAATGGTATGGGTATATGTAGTGTGTTTACTAATGCGAGTCCTTTACTTTTGGTAAATGTGATAATAGCGTAGTTGAAAAGTTATCAAACACTTATTATAAATTTTCCTTTGTGTGATTGTTATGAAAGAAGACAGGGCATGTTAAATAGTTGTGTAACTTTCACTTGCAGCCTATAATAGTCATGAAAATTTAACATGCTGGCCCCTGCCGTGGGGTGCCGTGCTGGCCAGCATGGCACCCCATGGCAGGGGCCAGCACGGCACCCCACAGCAGGGGCCAGAACGGCACCCCACAGCAGGGGCCAGAACGGCACCCCACAGCAGGGGCCAGAACGGCAGGGGCCAGCACGGCACCACACGGCAGGGGCCAGCACGCCACCCACAGCAGGGGCCAGCACCACACCACGGCAGGGGCCAGCACGGCACCCACGGCAGGGGCCAGCATGGCACCCACAGCAGGGGCCAGCACGGCACCACACGGCAGTGCCAGCACCACAGCATGGCACCCCACAGCAGGGGCCAGCACGGCACCACACGGCAGGGCCAGCACGGGCAGGCCAGGGGCAGCAATGGCCAGCATGGCACCTCACAGCAGGGGCCAGCACAGCACCACATGCAGGGGCCAGCATGGCACCACACACCAGCATGGCACAGGGGCCAGCACACCACGGCATGCACAGGGGGGCCAGCATGGCACCACACGGCAGGGCCAGCACAGCACCAGCAGGGGCCAGCACGGCACCACCGGCAGGGCCAGCACGGCACCACAGCAGGCCAGCATGGCACCCCACAGCAGGGCCAGCACGGCACCACACAGCACCAGACAGGGGCCGCATGGCACCCCACGGCAGGGGCCAGCATGGCACCACAGCAGGGCCAGCACGGCACCCACGCAGAGGCCAGCACGGCACCCACTTGCCAGCACACGGCAGGGGCCAGCACGGCACCACGGGGGCCAGCGGCACCCACAGCAGTGGCCAGCACGGCACCACATGGCAGGGGCCAGCAGCACCACACGGGGCCAGCGCACGCAGGGCACCCCACAGGGCCAGCACGCACCCACAGCAGTGGCCAGCACGGCACACGACAGGGGCCGCATGGCACCCCACGGCAGGGGCCAGCACGGCACCCCACGGCAGGGGCCAGCATGGCACCACGCGGCAGGGGCTAGCACGGCACCACGGCAGAGGCCAGCACGGCACCCCCGGCAGTGGCCAGCACGGGCAGTGTCGGCACCCCACGGCAGGGGGCCAGGGGCACACGGCAGGGGCCAGCACGGCACCACGGCAGGCCAGCACGGCACCCGGCAGGGGGCCAGCACGGCACCACGGCAGGGGCCAGCACGGCACCCGGCAGGCCAGGCCACGGCAGGGGCCAGCACGGCACCACGGCAGGGGCCAGCACGGCACCAGCGCCAGGGGGCCAGCACGGCGCCAGCACGGCACCCCACGGCAGGGGCCAGCACGGCACCCCACGGCAGGGGCCAGCACGGCACCCCACGGCAGGGGCCAGCACGGCATGGACCAGCAAGGCACCCACGGCAGGGGCCAGCACGGCACCCCACGGCAGGGGCCAGCAAGGCACCCCACGGCAGGGGCCAGCAAGGCACCCCACAGCATGGCAGCAGGAGTGGACCTCAACAGGACATTATGTGGGTAACTGTACTTCCTGCATAAACTGAGAACTTTAATGTATATAACTAATGAAACCAAATTTCCACAGATGATGAAAAAAACAAAAACAGTTAACTTGCATCTTTATTCATGAATATCTGGTAATATAAGCAACTCATACACATGTACACTGTTTAAACATTCTGTAATTTAAGACAAATTATGATAGTAAAATTTTAAACCCATTTGTGCTGCCTACAGAGGAGTAAATTTTTTTTAGCTGAAGTTGACCTATGCAATGTGTTCACAAGCATAAACAATGAAGCATCAAGACACTTTCTAAATAAACCATATATAAGGAACATGTACAGTACAACATAATAAAATATATGTCATTTAAATAAAGAAATATTAAATAAGACATCACAAAATGGGTGTACCATAAAACATTAAAAAAATATGATAAAAAAAAGTCAACAGCAAATTCAAAATTGCAGGATTTTTTTTTTTTTGGGGTGCACAGTATAACGTAACGTAAGTCTTGACGTGAGAAACAATATGTGGCAGAGTGTCCACAGTTGCAAGTCAATTACAACAACACATGTCTCAAAGTTGCAACAAATTCATCATCAACCTGTTCTGTAAATTACAAAAAAATAAAATCAGAGGGATTAAGTATTCACAACTCGGGGTCAGACATCTTGTGGCTGATATTCATAACGAGTCAGGACAAACCATAGTGATGATGCTCATATTATGGTCAAGTTAAATGTTTTAGTGTTCAGAAAACCAATTCCATAATCCATACAGGAGCAGCAGCCGTGAGTGTCCTGCCAGCTCTTAATGTCTAACTCAATTAACTTAAATCTAAGGAATTCTGAAGAAAAAAATTAAGATAAATTTCAAAATTAAACTTATAAAAGAAAAACTTTTAAGGAACTTTAGGAATGACCTTAAGTGACATTACACCCAGTACTGTAGTATGGCTGTAATTTATGTTGTCTATTTGAAATACAGTACAATACAGTATCAGGGATTATATATATGACAAATATAAGGAATGACTCAGTTTCAGAGATACAAAATAATTAGATTATTGCATGATGGACCAGACAACGGAATGACTAATGTCTCCATACAGGAGCCTAAACCTGTATATGCAGCAAAACCTCAGTAATTTGCTGAAATAAGTCCTATATGCACTACAGTATTAAGAAAAAATATTTTTTTTTTCACCTATATATAAAGCTAATTAAATAAACACTTGTGGATCCAATAAATAAAGTATTATTACAATACAAAATAGCATTTAGCTTTATTGTTGTTGGATAATTTTGCAATGTACTGTATTTTCCCAGTGATGTACAGTATTTAACACTTTGTAATATTCAAGAGTCCTTTACTTCTGGAAACAGGATTAAATATTTTGATACAAGTTATGAGGTACTGTACTGTGGTGTGCTGCACCTCACAATGAACAAGGTGGATATAACAGTTGACAGACCCACCACCTTGCTGATGGGGACATGTCTACACACTAATTATCATACAGTATTATAATAAACACTGTTCAATTTGCTACTTTACTTTGTTTTCACAAATAATTACACCTTAATCACTTCCAAATTACTGAGGTTCTCCTGTATTGAGGGAATATACAAGAAAGCATAAAATAATGATATTGTAATGAATTATAAGGAAAAAAAGACCAATGGCAGCCCATTCCCATTTCCTTGATAAGACTCGAGGCAACAAATATACATCTGAAATATATCATCTTAATAATTACTTGATGATGACTAAGATTGACCTCACAAAACAATACATCAGCCTTTTATGACATTGGGCAGAAGGTCAAATCAGGCATCAAGAAAATGGGATTTAAACCAAAGCAATAACACTGCCAAGCCTGCCTAAAGTACATCACAAGTATTAACTCAGCTGCACCATCCCAAATATTGTAAATTTCAATAAATATCACAACATTTATTCCATCAAAAATTTCATATAAAAAGTTAATGTCTATTAACTTATTACACAGCATTTGATAATGCCATCACTGATACAATTGTAAGAGTCACTGCTAGGAATTAAATCATGTTTAGAAACCAATTCTCTGATTAGAAACCATTTTTATATGTAATGCCCTTCCATCATGTACCAATTCAACATGTAGCTACCAATTAGTATTTGGTTCATGGCCAAACACTTCTTGTCAATGTTGGCACTTCAATTCTCCATCAGAAAGGACACCTGATAATAATATTTGAACTTTTGGTAATGTTTAACTTTCTAGCAGCTGATGACAAGATATCCTTCTAGTGATGACACAAACAATTCCTTATATCCTAAATTACACTGCCTGTAGCTACTCAAACCATGGAAGCATAATAAATGCTTAGCCCCATTAAACACTTTTTGTAAATGCCTGTATTAGAAAATTATAACAAAGTATTTACTCTGTGACAAAATCAACTTGTCTGTGTATAAGTTAATCTTTCTCACTCACAAATGGAAGAAAATGTCTAGCTGGAAAACTCGACTGATTACAAAAATAGCCCGACTGGTGTTGTGTACAGTACAGTATAATATTAAACATAAGGCTGTACAGGCAGTTTATGATTGGGCACCGACACTGGTGAGGTCGGGTCATCAGAGCACCTTAAACCTTCACCTTAATTACCATCAATGATATGGACACTTTTTTTATTTCCATTTAATCTTTTCTTCAAATTATTACAAACTTCAGTTATTACTGTACTAGTTTTCCCTGATGGTTAAAGCTGACTGCGTACGTCTTCCAACTTTCTCAATGCACAGATATACAACGTAAATAAGATAAATTAAGAAAACTGACAAGATACTGTGGGGGAGAATATCCACTACAATACCTCCATTTGTTGAGGGAAAATTCCTTTCCATGTACAGTACAGTACTATGTTTGTCTCACACCTCCCCTGAACCAAGCTGCGTGTTGCAGTATTAGCTACCGCACTTCTTAGCTAAATAGTTTATGCTTCTTTCTTCTGAACCAGCTAGGAATACCAAGCAGTTAACCTTGAGGTGGATACATCAGCATGTACATACTCCAACACTCAATAATTTCTAAAAAACACTGCTATCAAAATTACATACAGTACCTGTATATTTTCTGCAATATCTACAGGTGAGAGAAAAAAACTATAATTTTATATAATATTTGCCAATTTGTTGTCTGATAATATTTATATTTTATGAATATAATAAAATCTCAAGATTCACAGATAATTAACATCTTTAGAATAAAAAACATATCTATAATGTTAATAAAATTCAGGGTAACATCTTTTACTACCGACTGTAGGTCGTCTCATCTCATCCATTAACGTTTTCTACCAACTGGAGGCTCGTAACACTTCCCTCCGTGGCGGCTCCATTCTTTTTCGTATTCGTGATCGAGGATCTCTGCACCGCGCTTCCTGGTTAGTCCCGTCTCGTCCAGGCTCAACTCACACATCTGCATGTCATCTCGGCCTAAAATGAGAGTTGTGAGAATTATTAGTTACATTGTTATTTCTGTTCTGGTTACACTTTCCAGTTAGTGTGACATTAATTATAATTAATGTCACACTAACTGGAAAGTTAGTTTTAGTTTGTTGAGTAGCTTTAGGTTAGGTTAAGTTAGGTCTGATGAAGCACTGAAGGTATGTGTGGTCTGATGAAGCACTGAAGGTATGTGTGGTCTGCTGCATAAAACAATTTACAAGAGACTGTTGAAGGAGTGGATTATCCCCTCAGTTCTGCACTCAAAGGATAATACTGATGGTTAGGTTGAGTGAGGGAAAGTTAGATAACTTGTGCTGAGATTAAAGTTGTACTAGATATGTATTAAAGGGTACGATGTTTGGGTGTAGTTGCGAGAGACAAAATAAGGCTGGATTAAATTGTGAGAAATAATCAAAGCAATGTGGTGTTTCCTCAGGGCACTAAACCTACCCAAAGTTCAGTTCTCATGGCTATAACTAGAGTCTCATTTCTTATACCTGTGTACAGAACTGTTCATAATACAATACCAGCCTGTCTGGCCACAATATACTGTACTTGCCTGCAACTGTCCAGTCTTTATCTCCAAAACTGCTCTGAAACTTATTCTCAAAGTACAAAACACTGATAGTAACTGTTTGAAGGAGATACTGTACCTGTGTTTGACTGTAATAAATATATAGCAAGAAGAGAACTGTATCTCTTTATTTTTAAATGTTGATGAGGAGTGTAACCACTAACCTTATTAATCACTTAAAGATCTTAGTCCTTGAGATACAACACAACACAACACAATATACTGTAGCATCAACATTATAGTGAAAAATTGGACTACATGAATAATGAAGATATAAATTTTCCACTGGGACACTTACCTTGAGTAGGATATGAACAATAATACCATTGATGTACAAAATAAGAAAGATCAATTGTACAGTTTATACATCAACATCACTCCATCTTGTTATGATAGTACAGTACAGGTAACAGGTACTGTACTAAAACTGTGATTTAACATGGAACCTCTATTTAAAGGACTATATGTAGAGGAAAGACCATTATATCAAAGGTCCATTAGATGTGGTACTCCCCATCTAAAGGACTATATGGAGAGAAGTTTGTAAGTCTGTTATATGGAGGAGTCACTGTCCACATTTTTGATACTTCAATATAAGTCTCAGTAATTTTGTCTTTCAAGGAACACAATGTACTCCTCTGTCACTCTTATGAATATTAAATGTATACACAATTAAATTTTTGGTCTCCATATAATGTAGAGTAAATAAAGGAATATATTTATGGTATAGTTAAGAGAGTATAATGATTATACACTGAGTAAACCCCTACCTTGCATCACCAAATACTAATTCCAATTTATTCACCTACCAAACTGCTCATAAATTCCCTTACTTACCCAAAACAAGTCAGCATCATCCAGATTACAATACAAATAGAGGAAAAAGAAGCAGCGTTTTAGTTACCGGTAATAATTACTTTGCTCGACATTTCAGAATGATACGGTACGTGTTTACCAGCTGGGGATGGGGGGGGGGCACTTTCACCTGGAGGGACGAGTGAGTTATGACATGCACGAGAAACATCCTCCATAGACTTACCTGCCACAAGCAAGATCGGAGGTTTATCAGGGTGTAACTCCATCTGACGAGCAATCCAATCACCGTCAAAATGAGCATACCACCTGTTGACAGTCAGTTACCACCTTTATCATGATGAACGTTTCTACTCACACAAAAACTACAACTTCATAAAAAATCAATTATCCATTGAAGACATTAAACTATATTAGATATCACAAACACAGACACATAATTGAGAAAATCATTTTTTTTATCTAAAGCTTTAAGAAATACCATTTGATGAAACCAAACTTATTCCTTCAGTTATGAATTGTGTGTGTGTGTGTGTGTGTGTGTGTGTGTGTGTGTTTCTTCCATTACTGTTCTATCACCTCAAATTTATGACAAGTTTTATGTGAAAGGTTTAAACAATTTCTTTAGAATACTGTAGTCACCTGGTGCATCACAAACTCCCAAGATTCAGACTAAGTTTTGATGTTTTCCAGCACCTTATTATGTAATTTGAGATTGTGAATAAATCTATAATCTTAATGTTGACCGATTGTCAAACATTATGGTTAATAAAACTAAACTTTACTTCACAAACTAAGCAAGAGTTCAAACCTGCTTCTGACACCATCAGTGAAGAGGGGTGAAGAGTTATAATAAATTAAACTCTCATCTCCTTTTTTTAGGAACACAGTGTGGATAATTCACCCTCAAGTTATATATGGAGAAGCAGTTAAGATGAACAAATGAACAGAAACATTGTCAAAAAAATCTTGTCATAAAATTGGGGAACACTGTACTGGTAAATGGTTAACCCTTCACTATGGCATTTAACATTTTATTTAGCTAACGCCAGATGTTTTAATATTCAGTTCAGAGGGGAGCCCATACACAAGGGGTTAAAGATGTAAAATGAAAGTTAATGTGTCAATTTGGTACAGTGGGATTTCATCAAATGGTTTGCAATTATAGAGTTATTATTATTATAATTTATTATTATCAGTATTACAGGTACAGCATAGACTCTCAAACCCTGGAGTATTGGGGCCAAGACTGAGCCAGTAAGGTACAGTAATTCAAGTCTTGCCGCCACACACTTGCACAAACTCTACTTCTGGCAAATAGAGCGACTCACTAGAGGCTTCAGGATCATCAACAACCCCATTCAACTTGCTTGTAGGCAACTCTCAACTGAATAACAGTATTTAATGTAACCTTTTTATCTAAACTCTGTATACAACAATATTTTCTTTATTTTGATATTTCAGGCATATAAAAAACATTCAACTGAGTTTTTGTGAGTGTGTGGAACCAAAACTTGACTTGGCAAAGGAAGAAAATTTTCAAGAATCTGACCTCAAGGGCCTATTACCTGTACACTACTACAGTACTTCAACTTTTTTTTTTAATGGCCTCCATCCTCCCCTTATAGCCATACCTTCGCCACCATTTTATTACCTAGTACAACTACTACTACTATTATTACTACTACTACTTTTTACTTTTAATGTGACCTCTTATTAAAAGTGGATGTAAATTCCAACCGATATTAAATAAACACAGATACACTCCTGTTCTCTCGCTAGGGTTGGTAGGCATGATTGTGAGACAATTGCTACCTGTTATGGTAGGCCTAATTTAGTTAATTCATTCAAAATATAAAATTAGTTCATTGTATTATGGTTAGTGAATAACAGTATGCCTCATGGGCCTATCAAAAACCTTCATTCGTGGCGTCATTTTGTTTCCCCTAAAAATTTTAAATATATTTTTTTACCGAGTTAACAGTACAGGGTATTATACGTTTAATTCTCAAAAAATTTACGAATAACCCAAAGAAAAAAATTCCACAATCACACAACACCATCAAGGAATTTCAGTAAGACCTAAAATTGAACATCAGCTGGAACACATCACTTATCAACCATTAACTTGAAACAAACTAAATCAGAACTGGACTCTTAACTGATATCTATAGTCTGTGGTTAATTATGATATTGACATCTTATATAAACAGTCTACTGATGAGATTACCTGAAGGAACGAGACACAAATAACTTTCTATGGCTAAGATGAAAGTGACCATGTAAAATACCCGTCAAGTATTTCCTAAACCAGTGGTTCTCAACCTGGGGGAGGGAGCCACGGCAAGAATTTAGGGGAGCCACGGCGAGCTGTTATAAATTGTACGTTTCCAAATAATGTTGGGAATCTGAATTAAACAAAACTTGTATTACTTATTTTGACTTGGCAGAAGAGAATTTTCATTCTTTTTTTGTCATTTTGTTTAATCATAACGACAATACAATTTTAATATTTACATACTGTGGTGCTAATTTTTTTTTATTTTTTACGGATTATTTAAGATTTCACAGGTCCAGTCCGTCTGTGTGACAGGCGCTGGACCGAGCTGCTGAACTGACTTGTTCAGTACGTGTCCGTGTGTCATCCCTTTGCAAGTGGTGAATAGAACCGAATGATCTCAGTCTGGCCTGGGATACCATCACGAAAACAGTGGAGTGTATTGTCTCTGAACCATATATTGTGTTTGAGCTTGACCCAAGCATAATATACTCCGTAATTGGTGTTACTTATTTTGTTTCATAATTCATGTGGTCACTGCTTTAAGTGGGTGAAATATTTGTACATTTCCTTTATTAATTATTTCCTTATTTATTGGTGCCATTGTTGTTCATACTCATTCTTTACTTATATTATCCTACCATTTTTAGCGCTAAATTGGTATGACTCACTATTCTTCTCATTCTTCCAAGTTTGGCAGTGCTTGTCAAAGGAGGCGTGTTCTTGCTTACAGGAAGTACACTTCAGCTTATTAGCTTGAGTGTGAATGTTTACCTGTGTAAATGTTTGTGTATGACTGTATGTGTGCTTTATGTGTGTGCATGGGCGTGTTATGTATGTGAATGTGTGTGTGTCTTTGCCATTCTAACTCTTGTCCTATTTATCTATCCTTCTTTATCATTCTTTAGTCTTTATCACTTGTCTGTTTGTCTGTTCTGGGAGAAACATGAAGGAGGTCACGAGGATGTTGAAAATTCCTCAAGGGGGGAATGGGGTGAAAAAGGTTGAGAACCACTGGTCTAAATGGAAAAAACACCAACACCCGACTACTGGAGGCAATGTTACTACTGAGTGGGATGAATACATTGTAACTCTGGTGGATGTCTCGGGAACCAACAGTGTAAACCAGGTTGGAGCGCTGATTACGGCTACTGAATATGGCAAAACTTCTATTTAACGGACTACTGTATAGGAAGAGGAAAGTCCGTTATATCGAGGGTCCGTTAGGTATAAAACCTCCATCTAACGAACTTTATAGATGCAGAAGCCTAATGATAGAAGGTAAGAAGGCCTGAGTCAATAAACCTTTCCATAATGTTTTAACTATCATTTGTGAATCAGCAGTGTTAAGATTTCCAGGAACGTGTCTCAAATGTTGGACGAGGAACTTCACTACTGTACTTAATAAAATGATAATAGTTGTTAAGAGACCGGGAGAATAGTTGGGTGTAAAGGCAGAGTAAGTGCAGACTCATCTAACCTAACTGAAACAGGAGGCCAAAATAAAGACTTAAATAGATGAAAGGAATTAAGAGGAGAAAATCAAATATATACAATACAGTGGGGTATGCTATAACGAATGGATTCTACTACGAATATTCCTATAACGAACGGTTTTACCTATAAAATTGAGAATGCTATAATGAACGAAACTCCTACAACGAATTTTTTTTTTTTTTTTTACTAATTTATTGTTTTTTTATTACAAGTATTAATGATATTCTTTATTTCAGGGGTTTAGATGCATATTTATGCACTTTTTTACAATTTTATATTATATTTTTCAGTGTTAAGTGGTTGTATTTGGGGGCCTGGAACGGATTAATCCTATAACGAACAAGGTTCTAGAACCAATTAGATTCGTTATAGCATACCCCACTGTACTGTATTTAGAATATAAATGAGGAAAGGAATCACGGCATTATAACAACAACAACAACAAAACTGTACACATAAATACCTACGGTGTAATTTAATCAATCAATCAATCAATCTATCAATCACAACTTACCAGCCCTTCTGCTGCTGTTCACCGCGGTGCTGGTCACTGGGTCGTACGAAGGGAATACGGAAGTATCGCTGGGTGTTGGCGCTTCCTGGGGTGCTTACCTTGGGGGTCACACGTGGTGGGTTGGCCTTGGCTGTAGAAATTTTAGTCAAATATTTACATCACTTGACCATAGACTTATCGCACTTATCTTCTTTATACTTTAAAGGGTAATTAAGTTGTTTTTTAATAATGTAACGTCCACGGGCATCAAGGAAGTCAATCGACCCAAACTTACAAAGATCATAAAGTGAATATCTCTTCCTAAAGAGAATATGATATACCTCGCATAAATCATCAGTTCCCATCTTAGACGAGAAAGTAGGAAAAAATTATTAATACCTGGTAAATATGTTTATTTCCTAAGAACGGTAATTGTTGTTTGTTAAGACAACTATCTGACTCTGGGGATAAACACTTATATCGATGCTCAGTGAGTTAAGATACACCTACACACAGACTCCCAGTGTCTCGATAACAGCATCACTGACCCCTATATTTAATAAGTCTTTTACTTACCCAATGTTCTCCACACAACCATCACCGACCTTAAAGTAATCTTCATCAAACGGTCGATCAACTCTACACGCCTCATTGGTCCGTTTTCACCCAATCCATCCCTTTCAACTGCATTTATTTCCACCATTTCATATACCCAAAATAATTTCATCACAAGCCACAACTCTTGTTAATATATGCACAAAACATTCAAAGCAACTCGGAGAAACCTTTAAGTCTTCCTCCTCATCCTCACATGCACTAGTCATTCAGTTATTGTGAGTCATTATTTACTCACACACTCATGCCCTTCAACAAGTCTCAATTAACTTTTTTCCTGCACTAAATTCAATCAATGTGGCCAAGAATCTGTCCTTCCAACTCACTCCTAACACAAATATATACAGGTTGTACCTCTTTAGTCTGGCATTCTGTGGTCCGGAAACTCCCGTGGTCCGGAACGATTTTAGTTTGCCCAATACCCAACATCCCTGATGTACCTCAAATGTAATTTTAGTTACATTACCATCACTTCACTTTGGAAGAATAATTATGGTAGCATTAAAGGTAAATGAAATAGTATTTTAACAGTATTACTTTTTCTTGTTTATTTATTTCCGATCTTACATTTTTATGCTTTATGTAGGATGTTTTGAGGGTGAATTTCCATGGTCCGGAAATTTCCATGGTCCGGCACCGGTCAGGTCCCGAGGTTGCCGGACTAGAGAGGTACAACCTGTATTAATTTTCCTCTATAAACACGTTCCTTTTTTTTAATTTACAATTCCCAGTTTCCAAGTTAAGATGTGAAGTATGTAAACATCTCCTAGAAACCCTGCTGTTCATCAAACTATATATTCAGGATAATTTTAATCCCCAGACCTTTCTTCACAAACATCCTCATAATCTGAATACAGAAATAAGGTCTATAACCATGCCATTATCTTATACTGTATATTAACCCTTTGTGGACAGGGATCACAACTTGCAGTTAAGTCATACCCTCAAGTTTATCTCGTCCTCTGGGAATAAACGTACAGTACCTGCCAACATATAGTAATCTCTTATCGTCCCCTTAATATTATATGTCCGTAAAGGGTTAATGAAAGGAGTAAGATGATAAATTTAGCAGACTTGACCGAGACATATAGAGATAACAACAACATGTACGTCATCCACACGAGGTATTAGTATAGAAGAGACAGCATGAGGCGTTCTTATACTGTACATGATAAGACACAAAACATCATCTTGAGACATAACACGCTACATTATAACAGGTACAAGGTATATTTATAAAGCAGTACAGTAGAGAGCTGCAATAATCAACATGCACAAAAGCTTTATAATAATGTAGCACAATTACTGGCCGCCTGCTCTCGAAGATGCATTTTGTTTACAGTACAATACAGACAGAACAAACAGTTGCCTTCCAAGATTTCTTCACAAAAAACAAGATAATTCTGCTCAGTTTAATATTAACATTACACTGCTTGTATCTACCGATTGCTATATAAAAATTATCTTCAATTTCCTTTAGTAAATGATTCTCTCAAACAGTATAATTAATTATAATTCCAGACTTAAAATTTGACATTCATTTTATTTTCAGAAAGGTATGATACTCACGTGCGTGTGTGTGTCATGAGCCCCTAGTGTATGCTGGGATAAAATATCTATGATAAAAATCTAGGGGTGTTGATAGCCATGGGTGTTGACTGAGGGAGGGCAGTTTAATTTAACCAAGTTACCCCAGAAGCTGACACTCTCTATTGAGTATGAAAGAAACTGTAACTATTACTTGTACATTTTCCTTTGAGGACAAACTGATAATCACTATCAAGTTACAGCTAAGTTTTAATTACCAGTACACACACTGGTACACACACTCCAAAAAGTATCTTTACAATTTTATGTTAGACAATATGACACAATGGATGAAGGACTTTGACAACCCTCGCGAGACAACAGGGGTCGCAGCATTCAATTTGAAGTTGATGGACCCTGGACCCCTCCCACCATTAAGATACATCACCCACTCTAGCCTGTACCGTCTCCTCCTACAGCCTCGTCGTCAACACCCATGGTCGTTAAAGGATGTTAAGGTTTATAATTTAACTTGGACATGCTCGCATAAATTGGTGTATTTAAGACAAAGGACTCTTCATATACACACAACAGCTTATTGTAAAGCACTACAGAGGAGAGGCCTTGCTGCATTACATTAGCTTTCAACATGGCGTATATTCCATAATACCTTTCTTTACGTAACCGACCACACGGCAGACTTGCTCATTTTCTGTAACGTACGTCACATTGCACGCTTTGCAGTGAGAGAATCAGCAGTGTATAGTTGTTAGTTTTCTGCTCTTACTATTCTTCCACAGATAATGATCATGTGATAAATGAATATTAAATAAATTACATAAAACAATATTTGTATCTTCAACAGACTCCTGGTCACAAAATAGCAACAATAAAAAAAGCTGCAACAATTTATCACAAACTCAAATTGCCTGCACGGCCTTCATCTTTATTTCAATCACTACATTGACAGCTTCTAAGGCAATCAAACAAGTTACATTTTTAAAATTAAGGAAAGTTAATCACAGAACCTGAACGCCAGATCAAGACTAATAAAAAAATGACTTCTTTACAACTAATATTCAGTCAGTCAGAGGCTGAGGGTAAGACCATACCTGCATCAAGAACAGACTTGGGGGCACGTTGGTTCTCCTCCATGGTGGTGCGCTTCTTATTCTTTGCTTTCCACGCGTGGTAGACCTTAAGGCGGCGGTGGAACTCACTCCGACAAGCCTACAGAACAGGTGACAATCAGTAATCTTGTTGTAACCAAACACTTTAGAAAATAAACTAAATATGTACGGTGAGAGAATGAAGGATCTTCTCGGGGGTGTACGAGTACATCACAGAATGGTTGAACTATTGGACACATGTATGTGTGAAGAGCCCATAAACAGTTGGTAGGCCTGTGGAACCTTGGAAAGGGGTCGCCTGTGACACCATTCACTGTGTTAAGTAATCAGGTTTCATTATACTTTGGCCAAAGCTGATAAGATACTTTAGTCTCTTATAGTACCTTGTAAAAAATGTATAAATACTGTACAATAGAATACAAAGAAAAATCTGTAATATAAGCAAGCTAGATGTGAATTATGGAATCTTACAGATTTTAGAAATAAGAATAACATATTGTGGTCTTGAGACATCTTGGCCTCAACACAACACATACCATAAGATAACTTATATACAGTATATAACACCATTCATCTGTAACATTACATAACATCTGTAACATATAACACCACTCAGCTGTAACATTACATAACACAAAACACAAATGCCTTCACTTCCTTTAAAAAATCACTGAGTCATGTTTATTGTTAAAACACCAACACCTCAGGATATATTGAGCTCTTGTGAAGGAGTGACCCAGGCTGTAGTGAAGACCTGTGGTGTAATGGTCAGCATGCTAGCCTCGCAAGCGAGCGGGCCCAGGTTTGATCCCAGGACGGTGAAGCTATGGGCAAGTTTCTGTATGTCATTTGCCTCTGTCTACCCAGCAGTAATTGGGGACCTGGATGTCAATCGATTTGCGGATCGTATTCTGGGGTAATGGTTAGCCAGTGCAGTTGGCGAGTTGTCCGATCTTCTCGGACTATTCCTTGACACTGGGTCATGCAACTTAGGGTGTGGTTGTTGTGTTGGCGACAGCTTCTACACCTTAAATAAATTCACGCCTAGGTGGCCCTTGGGCCAGCCATTCTCATTACACACGGGGCAACCATTATTATTATTATTATTACATGTGATTCCATAATAACCTGGAAATTCACTTTGTAAAGGAAATAATAAAACAAGTAAGACATTAGATAATAATGGTTAATGTGTTAAGTACATACCTCTAGCAGCTCAAGGTCACACGACGTGTTAATTGTATCTCGTAGTTCGGCATATTTCCACTTGCTAAGATCATACTTCTTGTTGGCCGCTTCTTGCCGCTGCTTCTCGACCATGGTGGATCTGGTGAGTAAGAGCAACATCTCTATAATGTCCTATAATGGTCTTGTTTACTTATAGGCCATAAACAAATGAATTACTACATGAAAATTATTATAAGGGGTAAATATTGTAACAATTATACCAAACCTAAATTACTTTTGTTTTTTCCAGATATTACAGACTAACAGTACAGTAAACATATACTGTATGTATTAATACAATATTTGCAATCGTAATCTGTCATAATTAGAAAATAAGAAATCTGACGACCGTATCCTGTGATCGATCAGGCAAAACGAGCCAAGGACTGAAATGTAACGATTAGGACACAATTTAGTTGCCTGGAGCATGCAAGTTAGCAATAAAATTAAATATATAAATTCAGACACAAAATTAAAGAAACAGTTAGCATGTTAAATATTCACATGCCATAAATATTTCCTCTATGTACATTAATAACTACAAAAAGTATTATAAATGTGGTCAATCTCATCATCCCAAGAGTCACCAGGATGCTTCACACAGTTCATATTCACTGTCTGAGATGCTGGTCTTGCGTCACACTTAGTACATAAGACATAGTGCAAGTACAGTACAGTCTACTACTATAGTTCCATTCACCTCAACCACGAACCTGGACATTCAGTCTCATGAATCCAAAGCATTTATTGACAGAATAATGTGTCGGTCTACTGCTTCGGGTTCATGGTTCGGAATCTTGTGGTTCGTAGTTCAGGGGGAGAGGTGAATGGAACTTTAGTAGTTGACTGTACATCATGTGCTGTACAGTACTGTGCTTAGTTACTGACAAACTGAAGGGCTGAGAACATGCTACACTGTACAGCAAGGTATAGTCCATATCTTACACTATCATTGTACACATTCTTCATAGCCAAGATGCTTCTACACATATTAAGTAGTTATAACCCAATAATGAATGGCCAAATTTATGTGCTTCTGAGGTGCTGAAGACTAATTGATGTCTGGTAAAGCTGATCATCTGTTTAACTCCTTCACTATGGGGACGTCACTTTTATTATTTTAATTAGCTAACGCCATACACAAGTGCTTAAAATACTGTACTGTATTAAACTTCAAGCTGTTCTCAAGCTTTTCTCACTAAATTAACCCTCGTGTTTGATGTCACCCACGACAGACAACATGCAATCACTAACTTTATTCTTGGATGGCTCTTCCCATAATCTTAATATTTAATTATACTGACTCATGCAGAACTGTGTTGTATCAACTGTCCAGTACTAAAAGTAGTCAAACAAAACAGTAGTCAAATAATCCTTATAAGAAAACAATATATCAACACTTCAGGGAAAAACTGCAAATATAATCCAGCACACTCTGGGATCTTATAAATACTCCAGATTTTAAAAAGTTAATACACCTTATTGGTGGATAAAATCACCAGTTTTTAGGCAGTCAAGCACATGTGATAATCCTGATTCATTCTCCTTCACCCCACAGTGGGAGGACTTACTGAACTACTGTACCTTGTAAGGCTCAATACTGTGCAAGTACTGTACTCCCAATATGGCTGAATAACAAATAAAGTTTTTGTCAATGGGCATTTACATATTGGCTATTAATTAAACTACCAGTAAGTGTGCACAGTGAGGCTTCCATATAACAGCCTTGTCTCTCCACATAATTCATTACATGGGAAGGTTCACTGTACTATAGTGTACTGAAAAATCTGTGAACTTCAAAGCTAAAAAATTAGGTGCAAATTTGGAGGTGGTCAAGAGTGCTTTCAATTTATATACATTTGCTAATACTGTACAATGTATGGTGTATAATACATAATGTGCACACAGAGTGTTAAGCGTTTACAACAATAATAGCGTATGTATTCTTATGTCCCATTTAGCGGACCTTCGATTCCTCTACAATCAAATATTATTGATTCTCATTCGTGTTAATAAGATTCCCTATGGCTTTATTTAACATGAAAACGTCAAACATCTTATGACTGCACAAAAACTTATCATCTGAACACAATATTATGTCAAAATGCTGTACAGTCAAACCTCTATATAACGGACTTCTACCTCCACATAATCTGTTAGATGGCGGTTTTATTCCAACGGACCCTTGATATAATGGACTCATCTCCATTTAGTCCGTTAAATAGAGGAATTATATATAGTATCTCCTTTTCCAATAAAACCCTCAAAAAACATCCAACTCAGCACTTCACTTCACACTTTACAGATAAATTGTCTCTAGTGTTCTCCTGACCAATAATTCAATCAACTTTTTTCATTTCTGGTGATGGTAAATATAATATACACAGTCTACATAACAAAAGTGACCTAACCTAATCTAAACTATCTGTGTTGTCTAAAAAAAAAAGTACTACAGTCAACTATTGAGGACCGTTCACCTCTCCCCCTGAACCATGAATTCCAAGATTCAGTCTCATGGATCTGAGGCATTTATGGACAGAATAATGTATCAGTCTACTGCTTCATGAGTCTGAATCTCTGGGTTGGTGGTCCAGTGGGAGAGGTGAACAGACTGCAGTATGGCTGTACAGTTGGAGACAAAATTCCCTCAACACACTTGGTAATATCTGGTATCTACTTCAGGGTCACGACAAGGAAAGGGATGACGGAGTGAGATTTGACCATTTATATAAGTACTGTGAAACCTGTATTTAACAAACTATATGGAGAGGAAAGTGCGTTATATCGAGGGTCTGTTAGATGTGAAACCCCCTTTATACATCATGGCTAGACATTATTATCAACACATGCCTGAAGCACACGAGCCAACAACACCATGCATGTGTTTTCTCTACCCGACTCTTTGTTATTGAGGAAGATGGGAAAACTTCTTCAGTGTCATAATTTAAAGAGCTTCTCAACATCAACAATTACTACAGTTTTAAAAATCCTCAAAAAAATTGATATCTTCTAAATTGTTATACTGTTCTGTACATGTACTCTATTGTAGGTACAGTACTTTACTTTATAATTAATCTCTTTGTTTTTGGTTGTATTTTGTCTCCTGAACTTGAAAGAGACTAAGGGCTGAGTACAGTACAATTATCATAAAAGTACTGTACACAGCATAGTAATTACATCTCATACTGTCAACCCATATGCCTGAACTAAAGATTTATTGGTATTTATTCACTAACACTGTGTCACTCACCAATAAATTATAATCACAGAAATTACATTTGTGAGGGTTTGCTTACATGTGACTTTTACTTTACTGCACAATAAACCTTTTATCACCAATAACAAAATTAAACAAAATATTTAATCTTTAATGTTGTTAAATATATACCGCCATTCAGACACCTTTTGTTTTTTATTCACCACACTAAGTCTTAAAAAAAAGTCACAATACTGTATACTGTATATGAATCTTCGTTCAGAACTAAAGCCAATAGGAGTTTGCTTCTGTATCTTAACTTCCTGAGCACCTTTGAACATCTTTAACACATGACCAGACAACCTACCTCACATCTTGCTCACAGTGTTTGGGAGGTTTAAAGTATAAAGACATAGCATTAGAGACATTTAGCTAAGTTTATACAGTACAGTACAGTACAGTAGTGACATTCGTGCACAAAGCTAACATACTAATGATGCGAACACAGAGAGAGAACTGCTGAAAAATACCCAGATGCAGCCTTAGTAGATGGAGGAGATTGGCAAGACTAACATACTGTGTGAGTAATCTCTGTCTACTCTATCAAAGGTGCATGTGGGTCAACAACAAGGCTACAGCAAAATTATCTCAAAACTTGAAGGAACAACTGGAGGGGGAAGTGATTCGTTAAAAAGACCATTGTTAACGGTAGGGCCCTGCAGCCTCATGTTTCAGGCCTTCTTAACTAATTGTAAAAGACTAATTATTAATATCATTGACATAAATGTTCAAGATAAGCCATGGGAGAGTTTGGGTTCCTGGTAACAGAAGAAGGAAATCTGGCCTTTGGAAGGTGTTTCAAAATAATTAAAATTCTTTCTTTCTTTTCATCTTGAAATTTATATCTAGAATCTTTACACTTGAAAGTAAGAATTAACATTTTGAAAGTGAAATTAATATATAATCAGGTTAATATGCATCTATGTACTTTAATGTATCTCTTGAGAATATGCCCTCAGAACCTGCAAGTGATTTACAAATATGTACGGTAATCTTTATATCACAAACTTAAAAGTCAACTACTGTACTGTATTGGACTTAAGGACAGCACACAAGACCTCCACCGCCACTATCAAAATTCTTTCAAGTTTTGACAATAAATATTTCTATGGTGGTCACACTTAGCAAGAGTTGGCCTAAGGGGTTACAGCATTGGTCAAAATCAAGAAGCAAATTAGGATGTTCATGGCAAACTAATCAAGCCACGAAGTACGTACACAAAATGAATACCTTTTCAACTTGTACAATTGGCTGGGATCTCCATTTAACGAGCTGCGGGTAAGAGGATAATGTATGATGTATTCCTACGCTCAGACACATAGGTACTGGATGCCTCTCCTAAGAAAGGTTACTTGTGTTATGTCTTCTAGAGACAGAGGAAGTGAGGTGTGTCTCTATACCAACTAATACTGTATACTGGAAAATATATACATATGTGTTTTACTCTACCTGACTCTTATATATATATACTAACTTGACCTGTAACTCAAGTCTAACAATGTAACCCTTTTTCACAAGCTTAAACTGGTTTCCTTAATGAGTACTGTAGGTTAATGCTAGTCAACACTTACTACAGTGAGTGCAGGTACGGTGAAAGAGGAAGGGATAATGTAAAGGCATCTCTTACACTAAATAAATTACAGTACTGACTTTAAGCTCACTCAGGGTGTAGATGATCATTTAATTCCTCATATTATTTAAATTTATAATCTAAAAGGGATTGGAAACAACTTGGGATTCTTTGATTCTATGTGCCGAGAATTTTTGAAAGACAACGCAACTGTGTAATGTCATGTGTGGAGAACATAGAAGGTTGAACAAGGTGAGTGAACAATGGTGGTTGGACAGAATGAATAAGTGTTAGGTGGATGAATAAAGTGAACAAGTGCCAAGAGGTGAACAAGTACCAGATGGGTGAACAGAGGAAATGATTGCCAAGTGAGTGAACAAGTACGTACCAGGTAAATGAACAAAGTGAACAAGTGCTAAGGAGATGAACACAGGATATGACTATATGGAGAGAGTGGATTAGACAGAGGAAACCAAGAGAAAGACAACACAATATAAGGTGGTGGTGAGAGAGAGAGAGAGAGAGAGAGAGAGAGAGAGAGAGAGAGAGAGAGACTCCTAACCTTTGAGATTAACTAAATAAATAAACAGAGTATTGTGTAAGGTTCAGAACTTCACACTGAGTTGGGAGAAACATTTTGAATAAGAAGAATAACTTACTTGAAGACTTACAGAATATGTCGTTAAGTTTAGTCTAACTCTGAGAGGTGTTGGGTCGTCTATGCCAAAACACACTGGCCTGACTGAGTACTTTAAGAGCAAGTTGTGTATGGTGGTGTGTGTGTGTGAGTGTATGTATGGTGGTGTGTGAGTGTGTGTATGGTGGTGTGTGAGTGTGTGTATGGTGGTGTGTGTGTGTGTGTATGGTGGTGTGTGTATGGTGGTGTGTGTATGGTGGTGTGTGTGTGTATGTGTATGTTATAAGGTGATGCTCCTATAAGTTACCATTGGACTAATATACAGAGGGCTATGTTATGAGAGAAAGCAATAATATACTGTATACTTAATTACAAATAAAACAATGTAAGTAAGAACAGCTGGAGACTCTTAGTAAATCACAACAAACTGGGTGTTCAAAGTGTAGCAAGCATTTACTTTAAGCTTATTCCAGCTCTTACATCTTCATACCACAGCTTGGCCAAAACAAGGCACACATTAAATGATAAGAATTACAGGAAATCAGAGTGAATGCCTGATACTAGACGTGTGTGGAGATGAATTTACCAGCCAACTGTTTACATTAGCTACATAATATATACCAGATGGGGTGAAGACATCTATGACTGGACTATTGATGTTAGGTCGATGAAGATTTGTGGCAGGAAAATGAGTATGGGAGGAGGAGAAGTAGGCCAATGAAGATGATGACTCGAGTTGGTATATGATGTACTGTGCAGTCAACAACTACTAAAGTCTGTTCGCCTCTCCCCCATGAACCACAAACCCAGAGATTCAGGCTCAAGAACCCGAAGCAGTAGACCGATACATGATTCTGTCCATAAATGATTTGGGTTCACGAGTCTGAATCTCTCGGGGGTTCAGGAGGTGAGGTGAACGGACTTTAGTAGTCGACTGTAATGTACTTAGATGAACACAGAACAGCAGCTATTGTACCACAGGAAGCTGACCGTACTAGACAGTGCACACATGAGGAGGTACAGGTGTAACAAAATAGGAAGATATACAATTTTCAAGGCAAATCAACTTACTGTGCAGAGTGAAGAGACAAGAAAGATTTAAACAATGTGGAACTTGTTGACTAACACTGTAAACCTCTACACAAGATGATGATGAAGTTAATTTCAGCTTTACTGTTCTATTTAAAATGTTTTATTGATCAATTTATTTATTTATTTTAATCATCTTCTATATTATTTCCTACTGTTTTGTAATCTTGTTCACCCCACAGAGATGGGAGCCGAAAACAGCTTAGAGAGAAACAGAGCAACACACAGATACAGTACATGGTTATGTTTGAGACAAGTTTCTAAAATTCTAACAAAAAAATTCCCAAAACTATAATTTATAATCCTGCTGCCTCACAACTTGTGCATCAACATAAACAATATTAAATCATTATAGTGTACAGTTTAACCAACTGTCTATCTTAGTTTAAGCTGATGATGTCCCAACATTACTTCACTAACAAGTATGTTTTAGTTATACAAAGAGTAAAGATTCTACTTCTTCATTTCTCTAATTAAACACCTGAGTTATCATAGCAGTCAGGAAACTTCCTTTCAAACTCTACATATAAATATTTACTCTGACACTGACTCAGCCACATGTACTGTATATCAAAATACTTTACCATCCTTGTACTCTTCATAAGTACAGTCGCCTGCACTTACCTGGTACAGTGGCTGACAAGTTTTGTGAGATGTGGCAACTCTGTGTTTGTTTACATCATATTTAAATTCCCGGAATGGCCCTAAGGAACCGCTCAATAGCAGCCAGACTAAGGATACGAGATAAACATTCCACAGGGTTGCCACATCTCACAAAACACGCCAGCCACTATACCAGGTATAAGTGCAGACATGTGTACCTATATAACAGCCTATATAAGATCATTATCAGTATCTTAATATTAAAGGAGAACTTCACTCGCTGAAGTAACCAGGACTGTATGTCTGACCTCTTGAGAGACGGGGCGATGTCATCCACGGCCGAGTTGGTCTCGCTGGCCAGACGAAGTGCCAGCTCGTGATCCCTCTTCTCCTGCTCCTCCTGTTGGGCGAGGTGCTCTGTCTCGGCCGCCTCCTTGGCCAGCTGGACCTTGTGCGAGAAAAATAATGTACTACTTCGCTGAGATGTGTGAGGCCTCTACAGTATTGCCAATAACCTTTATACAGATCCCTGCAGCACTCTTACAATTGAAATGAAAAAAACCTAACATGTGAAACACCAGTTCCTATATTAACCAATATTGTACAGTACCTACACATAAAAAAAAAAGAGTCATTTTAATCATCTATTGAGAAATTTAATATCTAGATACAGTGAAACCTCTACTTAATGGACTATATGGAGTTAAAAGTCAGTTATATCGAGGATCTGTTAGATGTGAAACCCCCATGTAATGGATTATACTGTATATGGAGAGAAAAGTTGGTTATATAGAGGTCTTACTGTATTCTCCAGCTCTGTGTACAGCCACAGTCCTTGATGCTAGGGTGCCAACTGACCTGTAAAGCCACTGCTGCACGACGGTCCTCCTCCTCCTGTTTCTGACGTAGTTCCTCTTCATGTTTGCGTCTCAACTCCATCTCGGCTTTCCTAGAATTCAACAAGTTGTGATAATGAACTCGTATACAAAACTATTGCAATAATGTTTCTTCTGCCATCATCATCATGCAGCAGAAACATTCTTTGAGAAACAAATTTCATCTGCAGCTTGATATGATGTTCTGATCTGAAATGAGGATGTCATGGAAAATAATGACTGTCATAAATCAAAAGTGTAAAGCATTTTAGTCCTGTGGTACTGCAAAGTCCAGTCATCTTTTGTGCTGGTGAAGGCGACAATACCTTCTGTCAATCCTGGTACAGCACCCAGCTGTCACTGGCATACATGACAGTAAGGTTGGCTTGATTAAGTCAGTTCCCTTATGTAGTTATACTTCAAAATATGGGTTAACTTAACTGAAGTCTCTGGCATCTCAATTTGAAAAAAGACTAAACATTAAGAACTGTCTGGTTTACTCAGACCAACAAGACAACAATCACAATAATAAATGTTGCCAAAGAGAAAAATACAGAGACAAAACCAAAAGACAAATATAATGTGCAGATGTAATATAGATCAACTCCTTAAGAAACTTACTTTTTCCTAATATCTTCATCTTCTCTTCTCCTCCTCTCCTCCTCCTCCTTCTTCTTTCTCTCCCTCTCCATTTCTTCTTGTATATGACGTAGTCTTTCTTGCTCCTCTGCGTTCTTCTGTTGTAGGAGTTTCTTATGTAAGACACTCAGCTCGGCATTCAACGAGTTCACGAGGTTGTTCACTTCCTTGTCGATCTGCTCTCGGGTCATGACCGTTCCCTGTGGTAATGAACCGGGTACTGTAGTAACTCAGTAGTGACACACACACATACACATGGTATGAATCAAAGCAACAGAACTATCAATAACCTTGTGCAGTAAACTTACCTTTATTTTCTTGATGGTGGCCTCCATGTTACCCTCCAGCTTCTTCACTGTTGCGAGAGATGAGTCCTTCTCTTTCCTCAACTGATTCACAATACCCAACATCTGCTGCAGCTGACCCTGTGGGAGGGAGTGGGAGGGGGGGGGGTGTGAAGGACCAGGTATTACACAATTATTTGTTTCAAAAAGTTCACATACACAACTTTGTCTTTATTCATCTTTTATTTCCCCACCGGTGCTCACACACCCTGGGATCTCTCAAGATCTTCACATGTATTAAGTTCTTCTGTAACTGCCACTCATGAAGACAACTAACTATAAACAAAGGGAGTAAGAATTTTTATGAATCATACAATTAAGTGACAGAAATTTTTTTTGCTGTGAGGTCCCTGTACTGTACTACTAATGCCCAGGTTTATATTTAGTCTTTCAGTCTTTTGAAGGAGATAAAAACTTCCTTAATGAAACAATGAGCCAACTCTGTGTACTGTATGGTGACACAGTACAGTACCTGCAGGCCCTTGACCTTGATGACACCCAAGTAGCGTGGCCGATGTTTCTTCCTGGCGTGGTACATCTTTACGTTCTTCTGGATGATTATAAGTTGTTCACGGCGATACAGGATCTTGTTCTTCACTGGAATATATAAACATTTATATGATATAGACTGAAGCATAATTGGGGAACACAGAACAGAAGCAGGACAAGCACCGGTATGCCCGAAAACAATACATACCATGTCTTTCACGAGCATCAATTAAATCTTCACTAACAATGCTACAATCTGTCACTTGGATCCCTTCAATATCTTCACTGGTTCAAGGTTATGGTAATTTGAAGGTTCACAAACTTTTAACTGCATTTTTATGTTTTTCATTTTTGACTCTTGTCCTACTTCAGTTCTGTGCTCATCAATTATTGCTGAAGAAAATTCTACCTGATCAAGAGTGTTGAGTAGACAACCAATCTCACTTTAAGTCAGATAATCTGGAACAACCATTAATTTCACTCTATCTGGTTAAATGATTCTATTATGGCAACTGTTGACTAACTTTAACCCCTTGAGGACAATAACTTAACCCTTTAGGGACATTAGTTTTATTCACTCATCCTCAAAGGGTTCAGGTAAATTTAGGATGTTGAACAAGACACTCACACTTGATGACAGAGAGAGCACACCACTGTGACTTCTTCCACCGTGACTGCAGGAGCCACTTCTTCACCTTGGACACCAGCAGCTGGAGGTTCTCTGGGTCGCTCTTCATCATTTGGTCAAATTCAGCAAACTTGCCAGGTCGGAAGAAGACCTTGGTCATGCCAAATTTGAAGTCCCTGTCGTCCAGACCAAGAGCCCTGAATAGTGACTGGAAGGAACACAAGATTATAAGTATTTAGTATTAAGGTCAACAGTATTGTTCATGGTTCAGGAAGTTATGTTATTGTCCCTAAAATACATTTGTCACTGTTTGGAAAATGGACTAAAGTTTCCCCTGCTTGATTTTTAGCTGCCCTGGATGACTCTTCCAAATAACAGTTCCATAATGAGAACACCAATGATACTTGATGTACACATTTGTTTATATATTGTAACGTTACCTCTAAACTTTATTTACCACTTGGGTACAGACTCCTCTCTGTGCTGAATAAAACCGTCTGGCATAAACCAAACACAGTACTACTGTTAAACATTAAAAGTGGCGTCCCGGTGGTGGGCGTTAATAAACAGCTACACACGATATAACTTTATGATGACAGTTTAATGTTACACAAGAGTACAATTCACAGCTTTCTATTTTTGTGTATTGTATATACACCAATGACTTACTTAAGCCGAGTACTTATCCAGAACATTAACTCTTTTACAGTTACGTCACAATGCACCATCACGACTGACCTTACAGAAGAGACGAGGATCAAGTCTGGCGAGTTGGGAAGGTAGATATTTTTTGTACATGCTGTAGAGGTCGTGGAAAGGTGCACGGGATGGGAAGCCCTGCTGCATCAGTTCCAGGACTGAGGTCATTCCTGAACACTGAAGCTGAGATAGAATTGGTCCTCCTTCAAACTGGTGATCCACCATCTTCACGTTTGGCTTGATGCATCGGATGAAATTGGTTCCCTGAAGACGAAAAAAATAAGATTTTAAAAGTTCAATACAGCTATAAGAGGGGGGGGGAAGAGAGAGGTGGATTAACGAACGACCTTCTGGAACGAATTGTGTTCGTTAACCGAGGGACCACTGTGTGTGTGTGTGTGTATATATATATATATATATATATATATATATATATATATATATATATATATATATATATATATATATATATATATATATATATATATATATATATATATATATATATATATATATATATATATATATATATATATATATATATTTATGTAAATCAATAAATGAGCCTTAGTTGCCTTGAATAAAAGACTAAAGCTAAGGTAATTCGTTGTTTCCATTTTCCGCAGATTTTATATATATATATATATATATATATATATATATATATATATATATATATATATATATATATATATATATATATATATATATATATATATATATATATATATACATACCGTACAGTATATACACTCCACCTCTAGACCCCACACTATCCTCAACTCAATACTGTGCACGGTGTTCCTCTTATATCCTGACTCCTCACCCTTTTAACTTCATGACCAGTTCTCACAAAATCTAACTCCACTCATGAGGCTCTTCCCATTCAGTCCACCATGACACGCTACACATCACAGTAGGATGAATGAACTCTCCAACAGACTTGAAAACCTCACATTTTAATCTTTACAACACCTGCCATGGCTACATCCCAGAACTCTGTCACTCTCTGTGTTCTCAACCCTCGACAACTTCTCTCCTCCATATCACACCACACAACTCAGGATTCCCTTTCTAACAGCATTGATCTGTTTCATCTTACAAATTTTCCCTATTCCTCACATCATCTAGATCAAATCCTATTGGTTCTCTCTCTGTCTTCTATGGATATAAGCTACAGGCAAATTTAACTACAGGCAAATGCTAAATCTTTTAAGACTGAAAAATCAATTCAGTTTTTGTTGGTGACATGTTAGAACATTAATACAACTCTTGCACAAACATAAACAACAGGTTCATAACTACTCACCGTGCCGGATAACTTGTCCATCAGTTCCTGAAGCTGCGACCTGAACTTGGAAGCTACGGAGATGAAAGACAATTTGCCCCGAGTCGTTTGGTTCTCCCCAGAGGCGGCGAACAGACCCCGGATGAACTTGTTCTGAGCCTCCTGGACCAGAGCTTCGAGTGATGCATGAAGAGCATCATTATTCTTCTCCAAAAACTGTGCCTGAAGAAAAAAGAAGGAAACTGGGGTTAAAAATTTGTCAGGAGTCTCAAACAGCATTTTTCCGTACAATACTTTTAACAGCCCCCCCCCCCTCCCACACACACACACTCTACTGCAGGATGAGGGAACATTTATATCAGCGTGAAAAGTGAATGAATGACAATGAAGAAAGAAAAAAACCTTTATTTCTTCTTGCTACCCTGTACTGTGGGAAGCCTTGAAGCAGAAAAGGAAGAATAAGAATAGGAAAAAGAAGGAGAACAAAAAGGAAATGGAAGATGAAGAATAAGAAAAAAGAAGAAAATAAACAATTAACACTCAATGCCCAAGACAGCAACACTCCCTCAACAACTCGCTGCTGTACTCACCGTCTGATAGCACACGGCACCAGCAAAATGCCTAATAAGAAACCCTTCGTCGTCCCTGATTTCTCTGTGGTCCCTCAACTTGCTCTTGCGGGGTAGAGCCAACCGGAAGTGATTGTTGTGGTTGTTGTGGACGGCGGCGGTGAAGTGAGAGTGCGAGGACTTGGGCAGTTTGCTCTCTTCGTCCAACAGGCTGATGATGCCGTAGCCTTTCGCTTCAATCAGATCTAGTGAAAAGAAAATACAGATATACAGCTCATAACAACAGCAGATGCTAATGTGATATACAATACTAAATAAAATAAATGTTAGGCCCAATAATATGAGTTCTCTTGAGGACTAAAAGACACAGATACTCAAAGATAGACTCTGGTGTGAGTGTCTGAGGGTTAAAGTGTGTAGAACAGAGAGAGAGAGGAACTTGGCCATTACTAAGAAAATTCATTAAACTACAGTACAGTACACAGTGCACTACAGTACAGAACAGTACTCACCAATACAGTCCTGGTTGTCGACATAAGAGATCTTGCGTACACCGAGTCCTTCCTTCTCATACAGAGCTTGTTCCTCCTTCAAGATGCGCTCGTTGAAGAACATCTGTAGCTTCTCATTACAATAGTTAATGCAGAACTGTTCAAAGCTGTTCACCGGGAAGTATTCTGTTGGACACAAAAGGTAAGACCTGTAAATATAATCACTCACTCATGATATTACTCTTTTATGTTTTTATAATAATTGTTAATAGTTTTAACACAACAGTAATTGGTGGATGTTTATCCTGGTAATTAAATATTTTAGTGATGAAATAAGAACAAAGTAGAGTAACATTAAGCTTGTGTTAGAAAATGTGTTGATTGAGGGTTTAGGAAAATTGATGGTTTATCAAGTTATGTCCATTATGTCTTGGCTTACCAGAATAATTTTTGTATTATACAACAGTACTGTACATGAGCAGGGAATACAATAAATGCCTTCTTACTTTTGTAGCTTCTTTACATAGTCTAATAAACATGCTTGAAGATATATAGTTTTATAGTTACAGAATAATGTACCGGGTATACTGTATTTATATTCAGAGAAATATACTGTACAGTATACTTCAAGTCTCAGAAGTCATCCCCCCCTTCAGTCACAAGTCTGTGCCATGGCCCTGAGTACACCAACACAAAATACAATGTGTTTACACATCTTATTCAGGGAATTATGTCACTGTACAAAAGGGGTTAAGTCACTGTATTCAAGGTGCACAATATATTAACCAATGAACTACAGTACAGTGCAGTACTCCAGCAGATGGCATCATAGTACAGTACTGAAGGATAATCTTATATAGTACAGTCAAAACCTCTATTAACGGACTATACGGAGAGAAAAGTCCATTATATCGAGGGTCCATTAGCTATGAAACCTCTCGTATAACAGACTTTATATAGAAAGATGTTCGTTATATGGAGGTTTCACTGTACCAAACATAGACCAAGCAAGAGCCGCCAGAGTGCCTACCAAAGCCAGCAATATCCAAGATGCCGATGTAGTAAGATGAGGAGGAGAACGGGATGCTCTGGTTGATGCGGTGAACAATGTAGTCGAACATCTTGCTGTACATGGCCTTGGCCAGTGCATCACGGGCACTGCTGGCCTCGTAGGTCTTGAGAGGAACCCTGGTAGAGTGAGTATAAGTGTGATAAGAGATAACAAATATTAAAGACTATACATACTGACAGTTTTGCAGTCGCTTAAAAAGTATCTATACTCTGGGGTGATCGATGAATGTCATAATGAACACTGTGACTCTTGCTGTCTCGGAAGGGTTGTCAAAATCCTTCGTCCGTTGTCATATTGTCTCAACACGATTTTGTATAGTTAGTTTTTTGATTGGTTGTACAGTAGCTAAAACAACTATCTGTACAGGTGGGGGTCGATATGCTCCCAAATTTTACGTGTGACTAGTGACAGCCTTATACAGTATACCAAAATTTATTGTCCATGGTCTCATATTGTTTTCCACAAAGTATGCACAGATAGTTGTTTTAGCTACTGTACATTAATACTTCTCACAGTATCATGAATTAAAAGTTTTGTGATCCATCTAAATTTAATTTAACTTGGTAATACCTTCTCTTCACTCTCTGCTACCTGGAGTAGATCAAAGGTAACAGAAAACTCAAGAAACGGAGGAAATTGTAACTAAAATTACTACAAGGAAGTGTAAAGTAAAGGAGCTAAGACAACAAGTACTAGGAACACTTCACACAGATACACTTCCTCACACCATCAACTTATGACATACCAAGTGTACCAAAGTGATTCCTTCATCTCCACAATATATACAGCACAATGCTTCATACTACTAAGTTGAGTTTGGTACATACATTCCTATTAACACTATGTATCACAGACACAAATACTTAATTTCTCTAACTTTTTATATTTCTACAAAGTCTTCCTCTCTTTACCCACAACATCTCTCCTGACATTCACCATTCTCCTATTTGTCAGACTTTCAGGAAAAAAAAAACCTTATTGAGAGTAAAATAATATAAATAAATAATACTAATACTGTACTACTATTACTACTGCTACTGCTAATACTACTACTGCTACTGCTAATACTACTACTGCTACTACTACTATTACTAATAATAATAATCCTAAATACAAAAAACAGTTGCAGATCATTACACTCACATAATAACAGTGCCCTTCAGTCCACCCTTGCTGGTCTGCATGACACGAGATAATAACGCCTGGTTGAGCTCCGAGGGATCCATGCCCATGAGTGCAGCGGCCGTCTTTAAGGAGCCCTCAGAGCCTGGAGACACCATACAGCCTCCTGCAGGTGTTGACAACAAATTGGTGACTGTTGAATGTGATCGATCCATGACAACAAGTAGATCTGATGGCTGGGAGGAAAACACAGGAAAGAGCTAAGTTTCTTTATTTCTCTAATGTTTCAGGCAACACAGGACCCATTCTCTCTGTGTAGTCTGAAACATTAAGTGGAATAAAGACACTTACAGCTCTTGGTTGTGTTTCCCCCCCCCACCCATCTGATCCACTGAATGATGGATCTTTTGTTGCTCTCAGTCATCTACAATTGCTGGGTCCAAATATCATGGTAACAAAATGGTTAACAGAGAATTGGTGCATGTTTTAAACTTCAATTAAGACAAGTCTGTGGTAGTAAAGATTAGTTTTAATTAGATATCTTCATAAGGCCTCACTGACAAGACCTACACACTACCTTTTGTGTCCTCTGGGTTGTCTTCAAAACTAATATTTCCCAGATGAAGAACGGAAGCCACGGTGGTGTATATAGCCAATCGCTCTTGGTTATTCAGACCAAAGTTACCCAAAGCTTTGTCCATGGAGGCAAAGTCCCGCACATCGTCCAAGATGGGGTCTTTGAGTGGTCCCTTCTTCTGGTGGTTGGAGCTCTTCCTGTTGGCTGCTAGAGTCTTCTCTGTGTCCTTGCTACAGAAGTACTGAGTGCAGCCCTTCCTCAAATACTGAGAAATAATAAAACTTTTGTATTTATGGAGTAAATCTTTTTAGTATAAAGTTGGACTAAATTTTTAATTACATGTTGCCCTCCTCAACCACGGGGTACACATTCCTTGGCAAGACAATGACTGAGGAATCCACTACAACACAGTGGAATAAGGTATATATTCCTGGACCATCCAATTTTACGAGGGGAAGGAGTTTCTGGAACCTAGCTAATGCATATAACACAAGCAAAGTGTAATTTAATGTATTATAATCAATAAATAACTCAAGTCTACTTAATGTTAAGACCCATATTGAGAGAGATGTTAGTGCCATCTAACACCAAAACTCACCAACACTGAGAAAGAGAAAAAACTGGAAGCACAAGAGACAGTCAATATATTTTACTACACTGAAGAATTGTAGGTCATGACTGGGGCAGGAGACCTGTACTGTGCTGTGCTTTATGTTTGGACTTGACATCACAACAATGAGCTTTATTACACGAGGTAAGTACTGTACAAGGACTTAGGCTACTGGAGATGATCGGTTTATATACAACAAAGTACTGTACTTGATCATTAATATAAAGTCAAATTACTCCTGAATGATGATGATGATGAATGGTACATGAATGCTATTTATCACCATCATCATCAGCATAACTGTTTTAGGGCCATTTTCCACATTTACTTGGGTTAGCCGCAGTTACCTGATGGCAGCTCTCCATATTACAGTACCTAAAACTGATTAACTCCACAACAACAAAGAATCACTTACGTTGTACTGGTCTGGAGTGCCGAGCTTTAACTGTTGCCTCAACTGTTCCGGAGCGCCGGCACAGAGCTGGTAGAATACGTGGTAGTTCCTCTCGTGAGGACCTTGAACAACAATACGAGATTTTTCCAGCAGGTAGTGTGATATAAACCCTCCCACGACAGAGTGTCTCTCGTTGAAGTGGATCTCGATGAACTTGCCGAAACGAGAGCTGTTGTTGTTACGGGTCGTCTTGGCGTTACCGAACGACTCCAGAACGGGATTGGCTGAAATATAGGTGGAAGTTAACGGGATTGGCTGAAATATAGGTGGAAGTTAACGGGATTGGCTGAAATATAGGTGGAAGTTAACGGGATTGGCTGAAATATAGATGAAAGTTATTAGTATTTCATATTTTCTTTTAATTCTATAAGTCCAAGTTGAATCATTATATACACGTTGGTATCAGTATTGAAGGCAACACACTATTCATAAGCAGTTGGACTTTACTCGGCCCTCTGAACATTGACAACTAGTGAGGTAATATAAAGAATGGTTCAAGAAAAGTTACAGTAGGCCATCTCTTTGATCGACTGATTTACTGTATTTATTTATCATTTATTTTTATTCATCATTTCACCACTTATCATCTCACTAGCCGTCTGGGTGGTTGGTCTATCCAGTGTTAGTACCGGTGGAAACTGGAGTGTGGGAAACCTGTGATGTTTGACAGTACAGGTAGTTCTGCTATAACGCGATAATTGTGTTCTTGTAAAATATCGTGTTATAGAAAATCGCGTAATAGAAATAACAGGGCTTATGGAGAAAATAGGGTTAGGTGCAGATTACTCGAAATCGAAAAAAATTTAGTAGTTAGCCTAACACAAAGGATAGCACAGTCTAAATAAATGTTACATTCATATCTAATAATGAAATCATACAGTAAATTTAACACTTTACCTTGAAAAAATATGAATGTAACTTGATGGGGGAGAAGGGTGATTTTGAGGTTGATAACATCAAGCTTCTCTTCAAGTGTTATATCCTTTCTTTTACGATAATCACCGGGAATTCTATCATCAGAATGCTTTTTGGAGATATTCTTCTTTACCATATTCACAGTTAATACCACAAAATTGGAGAAATAGTAAGCAAAAATCGCGTTATAGCAAACAAGCGATCGCGTTATACAAATATTGTTCCGAATTCATAAATCGCGTTAGAGCAAATTCGCGTTATCAAAACACGCGTTATAGCAGAACTCACTGTACAGTTATCTTGATTTACTGCCATTTAATAAACACTACAGGAGTCACCCACCAAGACACTCACTGTTGAGAAAATGACTATAAAAACATCCAACTTGACTCACCATCCAAAATCTTAGCTTCTAGATGGCCGACCTTGGACCCCCAGGACTCACACAGGTACCGCAGGATGTACTTAGTGGACTCTGTCTTTCCTGCTCCAGATTCTCCTGACACGACGATACTCTGAGATTGTTTCAGAACTTTCATGTCACGAAAGGCTTTGTCAGCTGTGCCGTGGGAAAAAACAAACATTCTTAACTAAGTGGCCTTTCCAATCAATGAAATTATAAACATATGTAAATTTTTCTTTTTGTTCATCTGAATTTTTTTTTGCTGTAATATTATAGAGAGAGAAAGAGAGAGAGAATTTACTATATTTGGAATAATTCATGACATTCAGCAACAGCAAACAATAGAGAAGAGATTTGGGATGATAAAAAAAAAATGGTTTATAAAATTTCCAAAAGCCATCTCAACAAAATGGGCACAACTATACAGCGAGTGCTTGTGTTGACCAGGATGCTTCTAACTCACCAATAGCGAAGACATGGGGAGGCATCTGGCCCAAAGACTTGCCCTGGTACTGTCTGATGGTGTCTAGCGCGTACAGCTTGGGGATGTCGATGTAGGGATTCACTGCTATCACAATATTGGCCACATACGTCTGGAAAAATTTTAACGTTACAAAATATTTACTGTATTTCGTCCATATATATATTCAAACTACAAATAAACTAATTATCAAATAATTCAGCAAAAATATGAAAACTTCCTTATGGTTAGTTGTTAAATGTACAGTTATGAACAAAAGTCTGTTGACCTCTCCTCCTGAAACACGAACCAAGAGATTCAGACTCATGAAACAGTAGACTGATACATTATTTTGTATATAAATTATTCAGGTTCATGAGTCTGAATCTCTGGGTTCGTGGTTCATGAGGAGAGGTGAACAGACTTTAGCCTCCCACAGGCCTTAACCAAACACAGTGACTTACGTAGATTTTGTCACGGTTGTATCTGAGTCTGATGTTGTTGAGGAGCGTAGCCTCATTCAAGTACATAAGGGCACCTGAAACAAGACCATCATCATTAACCTTATTACAGCTCCCAGATGAACTGTGTTGTTCTGTCCCATTCGGAAATGATTTATGTTCACTTTATAATGATTATTTGACGCGTGTTATAATACCACACTCATAAACAGACCTTAAACCATATACTGTACTGTACACTTGAGAACCAATAATGATTTTTCGTGTGTGAGAAATATATCTTTTTTTTTATCCATCGTAATAAAATACTAAAATACCAACCCCCCCCCACCCTTGACTCATGTCCTAATACTGTGGGTAGAACAGTATTGATTTCATACCTGGAAACTTAAATAAAACTACTGTAATTCTGTGGCAGCTTTTATGGCTCCTTCACTATACTCAGAGCGGGATTAACCCTATAGTCTTAGGCCCTCGTGATATTCAGACCCTCGAGTTTAGGCCTTAATTTGTGTTCCTTAAACTTACACATAGGCACAGTTAACAGGGTACTACAAAACAGTCACACACTAACTTACAATTGTCATCCACCTCCTTGCTGTCATCCTCCTCTGACGGGAAGAGTCTGTCATAGTCGGCAGTGATGGGCTTGGATCCTCGGGAGATGGGCTGAATGAGAACCCCTTCACTGGCCAGGTCAACGATGTTACCCTGGATGAACCCATGAGTCTGGTCACTCACCCAAACCTTCTGCGTGCCCTCCATCCCGTAATGGGAAACAACAACAGTTATCACCTACAACACACCTCCAATTAACTTTCAATTACGAATGTGACCCAGAAATAAACTTTTTTTTTTATATACTGTACTGGTAGATCATCTGAAACTTTTAATACAACTTTAATTCATTAGTCCACAAGGGTGTAAATATTAACTAACCATCGTCCACTTCTTCTAAACAGCTACAGTATTTTAAGTTACATTATTTCTTTCAATCAAATATATTAATGCATTATTTTATTTATCTCAAATGGTCTTTTCCCGTATTTCTCTACATATACAATTTAAAGGCTTATCATTGATGTAAATAATAATAATATACAAACAATAATATAGACAATAATAATAATAATAATAATAATAATAATAATAACAATAATAATGTTTCATAACTGCACAAATTATCTACTGATAATATTTTTCATTCATATTTCACAGAGACAAGCGACACATCAGGACCACTGGTGACAAGTTAAACCAAAGGATCAACACTGAGGATCAACACTGAGGATCAACACTGGGGATCAACACTGAGGATCAACACTGGGATCAACACTGGGGATCAACACTGAGGATCAACACTGGGATCAACACTGAGGATCAACACTGAGGATCAACACTGAGTAACTGGGATCAACACTGAGGATCAACACTGGGATCAACTGAGGATCAACACTGAGATCAACACTGGGGATCAACACTGAGGATCAACACTGAGGATCAACACTGAGGATCAACACTGAGGATCAACACTGAGGATCAACACTGGGGATCAACACTGGGATCAACACTGAGGATCAACACTGGGATCAACACTGAGATCAACACTGAGATCAACACTGAGGATCAACACTGAGATCAACACTGAGGATCAACATGATCAACACGATCAACACGAGGATCAACACTGAGTCAACACTGAGGATCAACACTGAGGATCAACACTGAGGATCAACACTGAGGATCAACACTGAGGATCAACACTGGGGATCAACACTGGGGATCAACACTGGGATCAACACTGGGGATCAACACTGAGGATCAACACTGAGGATCAACACTGAGGATCAACACTGGGATCAACACTGGGATCAACATGAGATCAACACTGAGGATCAACACTGAGGATCAACACTGGGATCACTGAGGATCAACACTGAGGTACACTGGGGATCAACACTGAGGATCAACACAGATCAACACTGGGGATCAACACAGGATCAACACTGGGGATCCCAGAATCAACACTGAGGATCAACGGGATCACTGGGATCAACACTGGGGATCAACACTGGGGATCAACACTGGGGATCAACACTGAGGATCAACACTGGGGATCAACACTGAGGATCAACACTGGGGATCAACACTGGGGATCAACACTGAGGATCAACACTGAGGATCAACACTGAGGATCAACACTGAGGATCAACACTGAGGGATCAACACTGGAGATCAACACTGAGGATCAACACTGGGGAGATCAACACGAGGATCAACACTGAGGATCAACACTGGGATCAACACTGGGGATCAACACTGGGGTCAACACTGAGGATCAACACTGGGGATCAACACTGGGGATCAACACTGAGGATCAACACTGAGGATCAACACTGGGGATCAACACTGGGGATCAACACTGGGGATCAACGAGGATCAACACTGAGGATCAACACTGGGATCAACACTGGGGATCAACACTGGGGATCAACACTGAGGATCAACACTGGGGATCACACTGGGATCAACACTGAGGATCAACACTGGGGATCAACACTGAGGATCAACACTGGGGATCAACACTGGGGATCAACACTGGGGATCAACACTGGGGATAACGGGATCAACACTGGGGATCAACACTGAGGATCAACACTGAGGATCAACACTGAGGATCAACACTGGGGATCAACACTGAGGATCAACACTGAGGATCAACACTGAGGATCAACACTGGGGATCAACACTGAGGATCAACACTGGGGATCAACACTGGAGATCAACACTGAGGATCAACACTGGGGATCAACACTGGGGATCAACACTGGGGATCAACACTGGATCAACACAGGGATCAACACTGGGATCATAGGTCATGGATCAACACTGGGGATCAACACTGAGGATCAACACTGAGGGGATCAACACTGAGGGATCAACACTGGGGATCAACACTGGGGATCAACACTGGGATCAACACTGGGGATCAACACTGGGGATCAGCACTGGGGATCAACACTGGATCAACACTGAGGATCAACACTGGGGATCAACACTGGGGATCAACACTGAGGATCAACACTGAGGATCAACACTGGGGATCAACACTGAGGATCAACACTGGGGATCAACACTGGGGATCAACACTGGGGATCAACACTGAGGATCAACACTGAGGGATCAACACAGGATCAACACTGGGATCACACTGGGATCAACACTGAGGATCACACTGAGGATCAACGGGATCAACACTGGGGATCAGCACTGGGGATCAACACTGGGGATCAACACTGAGGATCAACACTGGGATCAACACTGGGGATCAACACGAGGATCAACTGGATCAGCACTGGGATCAACACTGAGGATCACACTGGGGATCAACACTGGGGATCAACACTGAGGATCAACACTGGGGATCAACACTGGAGATCAACACTGAGGATCAACACTGAGGATCAACACTGGGGATCAACACTGGGATCAACACTGGGGATCAACACTGGGGATCAACACTGGGGATCAACACAGGGATCAACACTGGGGATCAACACTGGGGATCAACACTGAGGATCAACACTGAGGATCAACACTGAGGGATCAACACTGGGGATCAACACTGGGGATCAACACTGGAGATCAACACTGAGGATCAACACTAGATCAACACTGGAGGATCAACACTGGGATCAACATCAGATCAACACTGGGATCAACACTGAGGATCAACACTGGGGATCAACACTGAGGATCAACACTGAGGATCAACACTGAGGATCAACACTGAGGATCAACACTGAGGATCAACACTGGGGATCAACACTGGGGATCAACACTGAGGATCAACACTGAGGATCAACACTGAGGATCAACACTGAGGATCAACACTGAGATCAACACTGGATCAACACTGAGGATCAACACTGGGGATCAACATCAGATCAACACTGAGATCAACACTGGGGATCAACACTGAGGATCAACACTAGGATCAACACTGGGGATCAACACTGGGGATCAACACTGAGGATCACTGAGGATCAACACTGAGGATCAACACTGGGGATCAACACTGGGGATCAACACTGAGGATCAACACTGGGGATCAACACTGGGATCAACACAGATCAACACTGGGGATCACTGGGGATCAACACTGGGAATCAACACTGAGGATCAACACTGAGGATCAACACTGGGGATCAACACTGGGATCAACACTGGGGATCAACACTGGAGGATCAACACTAAGGATCAACACTGAGGATCAACACTGAGGATCAACACTGAGGATCAACACTAAGGATCAACACTAAGATCAACACTGAGGATCAACACTGGAGATCAACACTGGAGATCAACACTGAGGATCAACACGAGGATCAACACTGAGGATCAACACTGAGGATCAACACTGAGATCAACACTGGGGATCAACACTGAGGATCAACACTGGGATCAACACTGAGGATCAACACTGAGATCAACACTGGGGATCAACACTGGGACAACACTGAGGATCAACACTGAGGATTCACTGAGGATCAACACTGAGGATCAACACTAGATCAACACTAGGATCAACACTAAGGATCAACAAGGATCAACACTGAGGATCAACACTGAGGATCAACACTGAGGATCAACACTGGGGATCAACACTGGGGATCAACACTAGGATCAACACTGAGGATCAACACTGAGGATCAACACTGAGGATCAACACTGAGGATCAACACTGATCAACACTGAGGATCAACATAGATCAACACTGGGGATCAACACTGGGGATCAACACTGGGGATCAACACTGGGGATCAACACTGAGGATCAACACTGAGGATCAACACTGGGGATCAACACTGGGGATCAACACTGAGGATCAACACTGGGGATCAACACTGGGGATCAACACTGGGGATCAACACTGGAGATCAACACTGGAGATCAACACTAAGGATCAACACTGGGGATCAACACTGAGGATCAACACTGGGGATCAACACTGAGGATCAACACTGGGGATCAACACTAAGGATCAACACTGAGGATCAACACTGAGGATCAACACTGAGGATCAACACTGAGGATCAACACTGGGGATCAACACTGAGGATCAACACTGAGGATCACACTGGGATCAACAGGGGATCAGCACTGGAGGATCAACACTGGGGACCACTGGGGTCACACTAAGGATCAACACTGAGGATCAACACTGAGGATCAACACTGGGATCAACACTAGGATCAACACTGGGGATCAACACCACAGGTAGAGTTGGGGGGGAGTTGGGTTAATCTTCAGGTAACCTAACCTAACAAATCAATATATTTCTTCATAAATTAACCCTATATCAAATTATTATCCATCATTATCCATCATTGACAGACATAACTTAAGACGTGTCACCGACTGCTATATACCACCTCTTCCCCTGGCACCTATTACCACACACACACATCTATGACCTAATACCCACTGAAAGGTCATTAAAGGTCAACTACACTACAAGAGGGACGAATAAAGTGTTGACCAATTTGACATTTCAAGGAGAACCACTTTAACCTTAATGGCATTCTGTCTCTTATGCAAAATATCACAAGAATATAAAAAAAATCCAATATAATATGATTGGTTTAGAAACACACACTATAACATATAATATACTGTACGTCTATATGTGTTGCTTAATGTAAAGGTTTAATTATTATTATTGACACTTTTTATATTGTGTGACTTGCATAATGTTGACACAATAA